AGTAAAGAGTAACTAGAATCAGGAACTGAATCCAACTTCAAAATCTCAAGCCCTTTCTTGATTTAAGGTGATTCAAGATCCTAAGTACCCCTACCTGCCTTCTGAAAGCAAAACTAAATCAATTCTGAAGGAAGACACCAATCTCCCGGAAATAATCTCTCCTCTCTCTCACATACATTCAATGTCAACACACAAAATAACAAGTAGGTGTACTAGGAGAGAAATCAACATCATGAAAAACAGAACCACAGCGCAGCAGATATCCAATTATCACACACAGACTTTAAAGTGACTGCTTAATACAAGAAAATCAGACAAGACTGAGAATTTTCTCAGAAAATTAGAAAAAAATTTTCCAAGTACCAAGTAGATATTCTAGAACTGGAAAAAAAAAACCTACTAAAGATGATAATTCAGTGAATGGGTTTAAAAAATTAGATATAGCTTAAGAAAAAAAATAGTAAACTTTAACACAGTTTCAGAAAGAAATATCCAGAATGAAGATGGGGAAAATGAGAGAAAATACAGAATAAAATATGGTTGAAAGTTTTCTAAAACTGACAAAAATTATTTTTAGGTCATTAAGTTAATGCTGAACAACTCCACAGTACATAATTATATGTGCTGACATATCCACACAATCCATAATGTGGGAAACTTCTTAAGACAAACCATTATCTTCAATAAATTGCAAGTAAGGAGAGAGATGAAACAGAAACCTAAAGGTTAAAGAGACTTCAGAACCAGACCAACCAATCACAGTATGTGGACAGTAATTGGATCCTGACTCAAATAATCGTCCTTGGGAAAAAAACAACTGTAAGATCTGTCAGACAACTTGAACACTAATTGGATGTGATGATATCAGAACAAGTATCTTTTGGAGATACATATTTACAGATGAAATAGAATGATTGAAATTTGCTTAATACAAACAGGGCAAGTAACAGGGTTATAAATTAAACACAATTTGCCATAAGTGTTGAAATAAGTGATAGATTCATGCAAATTCATTGTACTTTTCAGTTTTTGTTCAAAATTTTCCATAATAAAGTTTTATAGACTTATTTTGGTACTCTTGATCATCTTTACTATTTACATGTGCATTTTAGTTGGTTCTGTGATCTTTGTCTTTGCTTTTGCCTATTACTTAGAGATTTGTAGACCTTATTATGTATTGGAAAAATTAGCCCTTTCTCATTAGTTGCCAGAATTCTTCATTTTGTTTATGGTTGTTTTGTGGCATAGCTTTCTGTTTTAAAGTGGTCAAATTTATCAATATATTCTTTTATCAGTGTATGTCATACTTAAAAAGACATACTTCCCTACTTCACATTTATAATGTTCATCCACGGTTTCTTTTAGTACTTTCTGATTTCACTTTTTCCGCCTCTATATTTAAAGTCTAACTCATCTGGAACTTATAAGAGTGAGAATGGGACCAAATTATTTTTTTTTCCATAGCTATCAGCTGTCCCAACACAAATTACTGAATAATCCATGTTTCTACTGATTTGAAATGCTGCGCTTAGGTTACTGAATTCTGTTTCTGGGCTATTTCATTGACTTGTCTATCGCAAACCAGTAGCATTCTGTTTCACTTACTTACATCTTACATTGTAATAGTTATTTACCAAATTAAAAAATTTCTCCTAGCTATTCTTGTATGATTATTCGAGATATACTTCTGATGATTTTCACATTTAAAAATCCTCATAGAATAAATATGAGTAAAACTGCTACCCTTATACTAAGCCTTTCTAGTCAAGAACAAAAACCATTTTTTTCCAGTAATTCAAACCTCTCATATCTCTTAGTAAGCAATGTGTCTTGATTTATGGTGTCTGGTACATAGTAAACATGGTTACTGAATGAATGACTCTATTGAACCAGTATTTGGGGATTGAGTATCATTATCAGAAAAGCCTGAAAACTTTAAGAAATCAGTGGAGCTTATGAACAGAATACCTTTTGGATGTTACAGAAAAATCCTAACGAATTAAAACCTTTAATCGGTATCTTTTTTGTACACCTGTACAAAAATTTTCATGGATATTCAGAATGACCTTAAAGCTCTGTACAATTCCAAGGTATCCTGGGCGCCTGGGTGGCTCAGTTGGTTAAGCGACTGCCTTCGGCTCAGGTCATGATCCTGGAGTCCCTGGATTAAGTCCCGCATCAGGCTTCCTGCTCGGCAGGGAGTCTGCTTCATCCTCTGACCCTATCCCCTCTCAGGTGTTCTCTCTCTTTCATTCTCTCTCTCTCAAATAAATAAATAAAATCTTAAAAAAAAAAAAATCTTATAAATTCCAAGGTATCCTCAGAACCACAACAAACACATACACATAATTTCATATTCACTTACCGTAACATGTACTCTCTTAAATCCTACTCATTTGAAAATTAACAGTTTAAATGGGTAGCTAAAGAAGGAAATCATTAGTTTAAAAAACAAGCTAATAGACTATTGCATTAAATTAGGAGAGGTAATCAAGACATGAACTAAGCTAATGGCAACAGAAAGAGAAAAAGATTAACCAAATAAAGGGGAAAAAACAGACTCTAAAAGGATCCCAGCATTTGAGCTGTGGTGGCAGAGAATAATAGCACTAACCACAGAAATAGGCAAATTATGAGGTTAGTCAATTTTAAGGAAGATGATAATTTTAACTTAACGCAGGCTGAATTGGAGGTGAGGAGCGACAAGGCAAAGTCCAGTGCACAATCAAGACCAAGTACTAGCAGGTGGGGCTGAGACAATGATTTGACAGTCATGCCCAGAAGTGATGATGAAGCTATAGAAATCAGTGTTATCTGAAAACTGTTTATTTGAACCCATCTTACTGGTTAACAAAAGATAAATGAAGTGCTACTGCTCACCCTTATTCTAAGTGTAGTTACTTCTTTAAAAAAAAAAAAAAGGTAAATGATGGTGTGTCTGGGTGGCTCAGCCGGTTAAGCGTCTGCCTTCAGCTCAGGTCATGATCCCAGGGTCCCAGGATCAAGTCACGCATCTGGCCACTAGTGTGCTCTCTCTCTCAAATAATCTTAAAAAAAAAAAAAGGTGAATGAGTAAAATATAAAAATATGCAAAAGGTATTATGGTTCTCTTTTTAAAAAACTCAATTACATAAAGTTAAAGGAATCCAGTCAATATTGATAACTGAATTTTATAATCAGTAATGCCAAGCAATCAAGCAGGGAAACTCCAAAGATATTTACTGTTGGGTCTATTAGAGAATGGGAAAGAAGGGGATGTGAAGGAACATTATCACATAAATCATTAACAAACAGCCCTTCTAAATCACCAAAATTAATTGTTAACGAAGAATAGCAAGTTGAAGCTTGGCTCAAACACTGGCATCCTTTAAGACTCTTGTTTTCCCCCCTTTGTTTGGTTTAATCTTTTTCTATTTCTGTTGCCATTAGCTTAGTTCATGTCTTGATTACCTCTCCTAATTTAGGTGAAGCTTGTGTGAGTTTTACATTGTTATGTGTATTTATAGAATTACAAAACACATCTTAGATGGAATAAAAAAAACAAAAAACAAAAAAGAGTCTTTAAGTTTCAGATTCCATCTCATGACATCAGTCAGCTTCATAATCCACCTTTTACTGTTAAACTTTGGGACACAGAACATGTCAAATGCTATTTTACACCACGCTCCAAGTCCATGTGTAAACTCAGCAAAGATTAATTAAAACCCTAATCATTAAGCTGCACTAATCTAAGCCAAATACCAGTAATTTTGTAACAGGAAAAGCTTAAAAAATGTAAGACTTTCATTGTACCTAACAATTTAATAAGTTAAAGAATTCTGGTAACCCAGAACATAATACAGACCTGATCTGTAATCTTTTTGTTAATTTGAAGCCATTTTATTTGACAGCATCCATCACAGTAAGTTTTCAATTTATAACCTGTATTTTTTTGTTAATTTTGCCTTGGCCTATTCCAAATTAGGTATTTTGCCACGCTATACTGGCTTCAAAGTGTAACATTTACTAATCAAGTTGAATCTTTCCAATACCCACTTTTAAAATGTTTTAGCACTACACGTTAACAGCTTCGAAACTTTACCAAAGGGGCAAGATAAGTTTAAGTGCATTTATCTAAGAGTAGACAGAAAAAGTGAATAATGCCTTTAATCTAGCTTTAACTCCACTGAGTTCTTAAAGGTGGGTGGGATACACATACCACAGATAACATATAACAGTGTATTTTTAAATAACTTGTGGTGATTTTATAAATCCTGTATTATACATATTACAGATTAAAGATTCTATCTAAAATAGACATATTCTGGGAGTTGCTCCATGGGAATTCCAGAGGAACATTGTAATGTTTATATTCTTTGGAATATATATCCACAAGTAACTGAACTCTGCATGAAACCAAAATAAGCCTTTCAAGTATTTAAAATAAATTTTCCAACTTCATCCTGAGGTGAAAGTGATTTCAGGTTATGCTTTCATTCCAAGTATATATTGCAAAGAATTTCTCATTAATAAGGCTTTACATGAAATTGTGTGTCATGACCTGGTATTTCCTGAATGATAACTTTAAAAACTACTTAAACCTTACTTCCTTATTAAATATTAAGAAGAAAGACTCCTCTGAGGTATATGGGGGTCAGCTTCTGGACCTTTATGGAAAATTTAACAGCCAAATTTTATCTACCCTTAATGATGAGATCCATGGAACTCAAATTTGCAAAAAAGGAGCAGTGATCTAAAACTATCTGGTATGAACAGACTGTCTAAAAGCACTGCCTTAGTTTTTATTATTTTTACACAAAAACCTTCAATAGCTTACCACTGAAAATACACTCAACTTCCTTAAATTGCCATTGACAGTCCTTCATGATCTCACTCAACCTTAACTCTTGTTGAGTATCATGGTAAAAACTATATCCCAACCCACCCAAACTGCCAGTTCTCCAAATACACTTCCCTCTTACTGACTCTTCCTCAGGCTGTCCTCTTTTTTCCAGAATAAGCCCTATGCCCCTCTCTCCGTCTACCTATCCTTTCAAGGTCTACCTACGCTATTCATCAATGAAGCTTTCTCCGATCATCTAAGGCAAAAATGGTTTATTCATTTCTATGGTGTTTTGAATGTTGCACTCCTACAAGATTTCCTGAAGGGACTGAATGGAGACCCGAGGACAGCTACTCACCAACCGAATGCCAAACTCTGGCAAGTGCAGAGTTGCTACGTGGACAAGCTGTGACTGCTAGGTTGCTTTTCCTGCTGGCTTTGCTGCGGATGTTCCCTGGGTTGGCTTAAATGACACATGCAAATGTAGCTTTTCCCTACTGTGGTACCAGCAAGCTGTAAGTAACTGAATAGAGCTGTACTTTAAAGGCCAAGAAATTTCTAGGAACATGACGTAACTTGAAACAATTCTAATTCTGTTCTCACCTGAGCACAGCCCGTGAGCAAAAGGAAGAGGCACGTAGTAAATGAAAGCAGGAAGTCCTACTTCAACTGTATTTTCTCTTCTCTATGATCCCTAGAGATTTGTGAATGAAGTAAGATTATAGATTTTTTTCCTAGAATGCCTCTCGCCAATTCTCTAATTTCCTAAGGATTGGTAGTAACTCCAGGAATTATACTGGTGGGCCATAAAATCCGGAACGATGTAGAAGTGAAATCGATCTGATCTGGGTAGGCTTACATCCAAATTCTTTCACACACTGAGCAAAACTCATTGTAGATAAAGGCTACTCAATGGAAGCTTAGTTAACAAACAGCTAGGAAAGAAACACCTTGAACAAAACTTTTTCCCGACCTATTTCCCGACCTTAAAATCAGTTTTAAGTAAGAAGTGGCAATGACAAGTTAAGTGTAGATTATCTCTAATATGTAATAAAAACCACATTTTAAAAATTTGGGAAGTGAAAAAGAAGTTACGAGAAAAGAGTACATTTGTTTGTAGTCTATGTTCATTTGACTAGAACTAAAAATTTTAGATTAAAATATCTTTGTAGATTAAAATCCATCACATAATTAAACCTCAGCCTGAAAAGTAACACAAACCTACAGGGTCCAAGTTGTTCTATAGATTACAAAAAAAAAAAAAAAAAAGAAAATGCCAACACATATTTCATATGCCTAAATGATCATTTTTGACTTAACATCAACCTAAAAAAGAAACCCTCCAATCAAATATCTGGAACAAAAAATCACCTCATTTAGGGGCACCTGGGTGGCTCAGTCTTTGAGCATCTGCCTTCGGCTCAGGTCCTGATTGGTATCGAGCCCCGCATAAGGCGCCCTGCTCTGCGGGAAGCCTGCTTCTCCCTCTCCTACTCCCCCTGCTTGTGTTCCCTCTCTCGCTGTGTCTCTCTCTGTCAAATAAATAAAATCTTTTTTAAAAATAAATAAATAAATAATAAAAGAACTGTCTAGAAGAACACTGCTACTTGTTTGTATAAAAGAACGCCATATATGTATGAAAGAATACGGATACTTGTATGTTGGTTTCAGATGTGAAATCAAAACAGCAGGGCCACATGAGCGTAGAACTCTGCTGCTTCGTAACAATTCTATTAGTGAGTCCCCCAAAATATCCCAAGCAGAGCTCATTAGTTTCTGACCTAAAATTTAGATGGGAAGCTATTTTGAAAACCACTATAAACTGTAAATCTGAATTCTGAGTAGCAAGAATAACTTATATACCACAAAAGATAAAAAATAAAAGTAACACATATAACGCGCCAGACTCCTGACCTAGCACTTTCCGATGTACCCCATGTAATCTTCACAAAAATCTGTGAAGTAGGCACTATTATTGCCCCCCTTTTACAGAGAAAACAACGGGGGCCCTGAGAGGCTGAGTAATTTACTAGGAAACCAGTCTGGCTCAAGTCCCCTGTTTTCAAGCACTATTTTCTTGGCTTCTAAAACAAAAGTTACTCCACAGGGAATGTATGGAAATTATATTTCAATATGTATCTATTTTGAACAGGAAGAAAGGAGGTTTCAAAAGATAAGAAAAAGAATACTGGGAATATCATATAGTAGAAGCAGGGTTTTATTTTTGAAAGCAGAAAAAGTACCTAGCATTCTAGAATACAATGTACCAATATTTTTATATATCTGGCTTAGAATACTAGAATGTGGTGAATGAAGTGTCTGCATTCCTATCTTTTAAAAACATTAACGTTTTTGCAAATCTGTTTTAATTTATATATGAAATAAAACAGGAAAACCTGTTTTAATTTATATGTGAATAAGAGTACTTTGCTTGAAGAATACAAAAAATACATACTAAGAGTACTAGCAAATTCTGAAGGTTTATTGTATTCACTGACTACGTGTGTACATACCCAGAAGTTCCTTTAAACGATTTCCACCCAGGGCCTCATGTAGATATCAATAATGGCTTGACTCTAAAACTGATTCTTACCACTTGCTTTGTATAGTTTATTTAAAGTACATTCCAATCCTCTGTCACCTATTCCTTGTGGCAGTGGATCTGAGGCTTATCACACCGAACACATCCCAGAACTTCAGACCAGAAAGAGGCCCAGTGAGAAGATCATGAAAACAGATACCCCATGCCAGTGGGTACCTGTGAGAGTTTCAGACCAGTTCTTCCAGGCGGTCGAAAGAGCAATGTTCTCAGGGAAAACCAGTTCTTCAAGCAAAGGAATAGCCACTAAGCCTGAGTACTAACTGTTCTCTTCCCATTGGTGTGTGTGTCATTTTCTGGACTGCTACTTTTTATAGATTCCAGCAAATTTTTAATTCGCTCACTTGCAGGCTTCTTCCTTTTCTTCTTGGCAAGAGACACACTGCTTAGCACTGAAGGCTGCAGCAGCGTTGCCAGCCCCCAGGGCTGATTACTTGATGGGGAAGGGCGGTCTTTATCTTCCTGACTTAAAATCCAGGCACTTTCTCGGGCCAGATCTACAAATTTTTGTAGTTGGCTTTGATTTACGTTTTTGCTGATGTTGAGAGACGTTTCAAAAGGATTCTGAATGTGCAATGGAGAAGACTCTGGTTTGTTCTGTTCCCTTCCCTATAGATGATTGTAAGGAAGAAAAAATGTATAAATATATGAAAGGCTCAGCTATAGGAATGATATAGTTTAACGAAATGTCAAAAACAGGGCAAATCCCAGCATTTACAGAGTAAAGAACTGCTTTCCTAAGAGAATTGGGTATGTATGCATATTATGTACTTATGTGTGTGTGTGTGTGTGTGTGTGTGTACTTCTGGCTGATTTTTTTACCACTGTAGTTCTGTGATTATTCTTTAGAGAAAAATAAATTAGGTTTATGAGCTACGGATGATGATGCTCAGATGAGAGGTATCTAGGCTAAGTCAATCAACAGAAGTATTTTTAAAGTATCAACTTTGACCTAAGAAGATAAAGCAAGGAAGGGAAAAAAAACGAAAAATAGCAGAAAATAAAATGAAGACACACTTATTTTTGAGACTTGCTAAAAACATAATAGAAGCACACAAAATTAGAATCCTTAAATTAAATACAGTAATTAATGTTTCCCAAGAATAAAGTCAGAAAGGAAGAGAAGGAACAAAGGATTATTCATTATTCATTTTAAAACACTGAAAGTTTCCTATTACATTCCTAAAGATCCAACTTACATAAGGCCCTGACAGGTAAGACCACGTCTCATAGAAATAAAAAGAAAAGCTAAAGTTGTGATTTATATGACCATATCACATGTATTACTAAAATATTAACAAAACAAATGTCCAAGATTCGCCAGTATGAGCAGCACCTCTTTATTCCCTAACTTCTGTCATGCCCTGCCCAGCAAGGGTCCTGCCTGTCCAGCAACTCTGACGTCTAGGCTAAGAGGACAGAAAGGATAAAGAACTTCATGTGATCAGTGACCTTCTTCTCATATGGAATCTAATGCCATATTAGCTTGCATCCCAGGGCTCTGTGTCCCCTCCTTCTCCCTTCCCCACACTTTGTTGTTGTTGTTGTTAAACAAAATCTCCATGAACAGGATTAAGAGGCAAGGATGAAAAAAGGAAGAGTTGAATAAAACAACAAAAAAGAGTATCTGATTACGTGTTTTATGTAGCCAATCTTACAACGGTTGTAACCAAGTACCCAAATGCTAAGCAGAATAGACCCAAACAGAGAGCTATCTCAAGTATCCCCCACTTGGTCACAAATTTTGCCTAGAATTCTGCTCTGGATTTGCTTTTTTTTTTTTTTAATGTCTATTATTCCAGCTACTCATATGAACCAAAATCATAACTTCATTTGCCTAAACAAATTTAGAGCTCAAATTGAGAGAATTACTAAAATCTATAGGGCTGTGTATCCTACTTCTTCCATGAACACAAAAGCAGTTTAACAAGAACTGTATATAAAATTATGTTTTCCAGAAAAATTTTCAGAAGAGTCCACATTTTGAAGGATGCTGTATTAGATGCTGAAAGAGTTGTCTTCTGCTCTTCCAAATAACTAGATGAATGATCTGATATGCAGCTCCTCTAGGCATCAATTTCCTTATTAGTATCTATTACTGTGGAGTTGAAATACACTAACATGTTAAAAATGCTCTGAAAACTAAATACTAATATAGCAGAAGACTAGATACTTTGTCATCAAATATTATTTACCTGTCGAATATTTATGGAATTTTTATTGAAAGCGAAATTGCCAAAATATTCAAAAAATTCTTTCAGTAGTGATTCTGCAAGAAAATAAAACAAGGAAAATAAGAGGAAGGCCTGTTTCAATTAAAAACAAACGAACAAAGGGAAAAAAAAAAACACCTACCTAGTGTTTCTGTGTTTCCTGAAGGTTTAATTCTATTCAAGTCACGAATAAATGTACAGTTGTGGCCTTCTATTATACATTTATCTTCTGCATCTTCAAAAAACAGAAATGGAAAATATTTCACATTTCAAAGATATTGCCTACTTCAGAAAAGGAATCTATAATTAACTAAATCAAAGTTACAGACTAATGTGTCCTATTATTAGTCAGTGTTATAGATATTTACAGTTAATAGGATTTAAAACTCCTTACCAAAAAGATTTGAGACTAATTACAGTAGAGCAAAATTAGCGTTACATTTTTTTTAGCATACTAAAATCATCTATCAAAAACCCAACAATTCTTAATCTTTTGAAGTCATCAGTTTTTCAGTTATAAATGAAAATGTAGATGGTTCCCATCTTTCACCAATTCAAATCTTGGCAGTATCCTTGATCAAAATACTTAATTTCCTCTCCATTTCCATCCTTATCACCCTGTCATGCATATATTTGCAACAAGCCATCCACGACACAAACTGAATGCTCTAAGAGTTTTGAAGAATTTCTGGTAATTTCTAAAATGCAGTACTCTAGCAACTAGAATTCACTACCACAAAGTAAACGGCACCCTGGACTTAAGCATTCACCTTTTCTAATAGTATTTGTATCTTCAGAAGGAATCATTCCCCTCACGATAAATACACAGCCAGCATGAAATTCCTCACCCATGCTAATCTACCTTCCACTGTACAATAAGCAGACAAATTCTCACTCCTCGAAAATCAAATTAACAGCCAATTCATCTGAAAGCATTTCCTAACTCCAAGTTGGCCATCCTCCGTTAGTTATTTCACACTCCATGAGCACTTATCTGACTTCCTTGTGATTGTGTATGCATGCTGCCCACTCCCCTACCCCAGCCTGGGATTACAAATGTCCCATTCACTACTCCCCCTCTCCACATCAGTCTAGCCACAAGTGTCTAGCATACAGCAGGCACATAACCAGTAATCCGAATGATCAATTACATTTTGAATGTTACAATCCCCAGCAGGGGGATTAAATACAGAAATCAGAAAGAGATAAATAAGGGTCCCTCAAATTTTTGTCTCCCTTTTTTTGTGGTTTTTGTATTTTTTGTTAAGATCTGGGTTACTAATATAATTTCTCAAAAATTACTCCAGATCCTAACATATTAATTTTATGTATTTTTTAAAAGATTTACTTAGAGAGGGAGAGAAAGAACATGCGCATGGTGAGAGGCAGAGGGAGAGGGGAAGCGGACTCTGTGTTGAGTACAGCCTGATGTGGGGCTCAATCCCAGGACCCTGAGATCATGACCTGAGTGGAAACCAAGAGTCGGATGCTTAAGCAACTGAGCCACCCAGGCACCCCACATATTAATTTTAATAGCAAATTTTATGTCCTCTATTATATAACTTCTAGTACCCCGAAGAACTTATACCCAGTTACACTTAGATCTATTTTTTTTTTTTTTTAAGATCTTATTTAATTTGAGAGAGGGAGAGAGAAAGAGCGTGAGACAGCATGTGCAGGAGTAAGGGGAAGGGAAGAGGGACAACCTTGATTTCTGACCATGGAGCCTGACACTGCTCAATCTCAGGACCCTGAGATCATGACCTGAGCTGAAGTGAGACGCTTAACCGACTGAGCCACTGAGGCACTCCACACTTAGATCTATTTTTTAGGAGACCCAGACACGTGTTACTCTTTCAAATTGTCAACAGTTATATTTCTTGTGACACAGTGCCAGTCACATATATTGATGTTCTTTTAGCTGCTGTGTCTTTTTTCAGGAACTTATTTCCAATTAAAGCATTACTACCATAGAAATTTGAGATCCACGTTAAAATATTTCTAGAACTGCAGAATAATGAAAACCTGAGGCTGTCTCTGTGACTGCTGCTCTTGACTAAAAGTTGTTACAGAAGTATTAAAACTTGAAGGAAAAAAAAAAGTATCCTCTGATTTAAGATAGGGCCATCTTTGTTTCTTCAAAATCCCTAAGGCATTCAAACCTAGCAGCTTGGCTGTCAAGTCCTTCCCCTCCTATCCTCTCTCCCCCATTTGTCTACTATAACACCCAGACAACATCCACACCGTCCAATATAATAACCACCACCACATGGGGCTATTAAAATAAAAAATTCAGTTCCTCGACCACACTAATCATACTTCAAGTGCCTAACAGCCACAAGTGACCAGTGCCTACCCTACTATGTATAATATGGATATAGAACACTTCTATCATCATAGAAAGTTCTACTGGATAGTGCTGCAATAGAAAAATGATTCTCAACCTATTCAGACATATGAACCCTATTGCTATCAGTTTAAACCTGCGGCACTCTTTTCTTAAAAGTATTGTTATGAAACCATGACAAAAATTTGTAAGTAAACACAAACTCTCAGTCGCGAGGAAGAGAGCCAGGTAAGCACCTTAATTAACTCATACTGGAGCTTGAGAACACATTCCTTCACCTTCACCTTAAGTGAACTTAGAAACTATGAAAAAGTAAGGTTATATATTTACTAAATTTGATTTCCTTGCTTCCTTTGGAAACCTCAGAGCCTCATGATTGGTACATCCATTACTCTTTTTCAGCAGAGTACACATGACAAATGAAATTCACTAAGTAATGTTCTCACAGACACAGCCAGATTGATAACTTACCCACATTTTTCCAGGGAACTGATAGCCACGCTAGAGTAATTCATAATTAGTCACAGAGATCACTATTGGCATTCTTAATAGATTACTCAGGGGCTGCAGTACAGATAATCATGTCTATGGGCTGTATAATTATTTAGGTTAATCTTTCTGGTCAAAAGAACAAAATCTACACTGTGCCAGCTACATATATGTCTAGTAAGTCACTTGAAGTTGATAGGCACATATGTAAGGGGCATAACAGGAATAAAGTTCATATGAAGGCTTACTATTTTTTTCTTTGATAACAAATCTTTTATGATGTCCCATTTTTATAAGAGGAGCTTACTGGAACAAAACTTGAATAGCTAAAAATCATATAACTATATTCAGCTTCTATTATAACTATCCAGTATGCCATGGATCAATAGTAATTAAATGGGAGAAGCAAACAGAAAAGCCAACTGAGATTACAGATCTCTGCTGTACTAATTAATGCAGACTGTTTAATACGGGGGGGGGGGGGTGCTATACACTTAGACACATCGCCATTTTGTTTCCTTCTAACCCACCCCAGCCAGAATGCTTTCTGAAATGCACATCCAAGCAACTGCCTCTCAAGTACTTGGATCTAACCTTGTGAAAAATGTAAGTGTTATGGTTATATCCACGTTTCAAAGGAGCTTTATTTATTGCCTCATAGCTCACTCAACTCCAGAATGTGACTCAGATAATATTCTCCACATATACACATCTATAATACAGATTGTTCCCTATTAATCACTTACGCTCATCAACAGACAGGGTAAAGTTCTACCTGCTTCTCCCACCATGCCATATGCTCCAATAACACTTCAGCCTCTCCAGGACGGAGCCTATATACTGATTAAGAGCACATGCTATGGGGTAAAGATGATGAAATGAACACAACCACCTACCTTCACCCCCTCCCAAACCACCAATGAAATGACAGTAAAATGACATAAAATCTTAAAGATGGAGAACAGAAGAAATAAGAACAACAAAAATTTTTCAGTTGAAGAACAGATGGACAAGTAGCTAAGATTCAGGAGATCTGAAAAGACTGACTCCTAAACTAGCAGTAAAGAAAGCCAAGAATAAACCCATCTACAGGGCAGAGCTCCCAACAACTCAGGAACTGCAAGCACCAGGTCTAACTGGAAGCACCAAGACTGGAAGCCTGATGGTTGAAGAAGCAGTTAGATTCCCCCAGATCTCTTTTTCCCTGACAGAAACCTTAGGCTTACTTTGGAGAGGGTAAAAGAAAGTATAGCTACACAGAAGATAGGAGACACAGCTGAGGGTAGGAAAATTGTTCTAAAAGCAACAGTAAGTGAACAAAAGCATAGTAAATGTCAAAGCGACAGCATGCTAGTAACGGGGTCTTTACTTCCAGAAAAATATTAAAAGAGTCATTACTGGGGAATCTGAATAGCTCAAGAAGAATGACCTAGAGATAGTGACATAAAAAGTGCCCACCAATAAAACAGTCCAGCTACATTACCCTACAATAAAGCTCACAGTCAACAAGCCCCACCTAAGCTCAGAGATTCAAATGAACTTTTTAGTTCCTAACTCAAACATGACCAGAAAATCAAAGACTATCAGATACCTGAAGAAGGCCTCTAACATGACAATAAACTTAAAATGAAAAATTAAATAAAATGAAAAAAAAATATTTAGAAAAACAGAGGCTACATAATAAGAATTAATTAATAGAGTATTTGGTGACTGACTGTTTTGACAAAAGATTTAGACAACTAGTAGCAAGCTGGAGATTCAAGTAACATTAAGTACATAAAAAACTAAGCAAGCAAGAAAATAAGTAGTATTAAAAACTATAAACTCCAAAGAGTAGAAAAAGTTGGGCAGGAAAGGAAATTAATTTTAGTTTACTCCATGGATTAGAAAGGAATAGGATTTATACAGTCATAACAGTATAAAGAGCACGTAGCAAAATTAAGCCATAGCCATATTCAGAATATGAGGGGTGTAAGAGATATATGTATGGTGAGGATAAAAGGTAACTCCTCTTCTTCCATAAAGGGAAGTCATACATAATGTCTAAAACTAAAAATCAAGAAACATGGTCATCATTTTGCAACATATACAAATACTGAATCATCACGCTCTATACATAAAATATAATGTTGTATATGCCTATTACACTCCCCAGATAAATACAGAAATTAAGACAATTTATTCTGAAAATATATTTTATAACGGCAAACAGATCAGCTAAAAGAGTTAGAAGTGGTTGCCTACAGAGCAAGGCAAAAGGAACAGAAGGCACAGGCTCAGAGTGTGAGTTACCGTTACCAAGTTTGTAGAATATTTTACTCTTTACCTACTATGTGCCTCTGTACTTTGATAGAACTGAACTTTAAAAATCAGTTCTTTTCACCAAACACCATTAAGAGAGTGAAAAGGGAACCACAGTATGTATTTATTTGAGATATAAAGATATACACATAAATCCATAACATGTGACAAAGGACTCATGTGGAATATAGAAATTCCTACAAATGAATCTGAAAAAGAAAGGCCAAGAGAAAAATAGGCAAAAGACTTAAAGAAACATCACAAGAATTACCCAAATGACTGATGCAGATATGAAAAAGTGCTCAACTTCATTAGTCATTAGGGAAAAGAAAACCAGAACATGCCATGATGCCACTACCCATACATTTAGAACAGCTACCATAAAAAAAATTGATAATACCACGTGTTGGCAAAGATATAGAGCAATTAGAACTTGTCCATAATGCCTGTGGGAGTTTACACTTTGGAAAACTGTTTGGCAGTGTCTACTGAAGCTGAATATACCCAAATCCCAAGACTCAGAAATTCTATTCCTAGTTTATACTTGACAGATAGGAGTGCCTGTGCTCACCAAAAGAAATATGCTAGAATGATATTAGCTATTACGTGTAATGGTCCCAAACTACAAATCATTTACATGCCCATCAAAAGTAGAAGTAAAAATCTTTTTTGGTATGTTCATGGAAAATAGTACTGTGCCACAATGAAAATGAGTGGTCCACAAATACACGAACAGTAGGAATGAATCTTCTAAACATAATGTTGAGAGGGAAGAAACCAGACGCAAAACAATACACACTGTATGAGACATAAACAGGTAAAATGAATCCATGCTGTTGAAAGGGGGGGTGGGAAGGGCGTGGAGGGACCCGAAGGGAAGACAGCTAGTGCTTCTGCGGTATTCATTCAGTCAGGGTGGTGTTTCCATGGGTGTGTTCCGTTTGTGAAAATATACATATACACACATGTACTTCTAGGTGTATTATATTTCAGTTACCTTAAGAAATTTGGAAAACCTCTCAACGTTTTCTCACCTATAAAATGAAAACAGTAAATGTGCCTCATAAGATTTGCTGGGAGGACTGAATGAAATGGTGTATAAGACTTTCTAGCCCATGCCTGGCACTGAGTTAGCACCCAATAAATTGTTACTGTGTCACAATTAAAATTCTCTTCCATTCTGGGGTTTATGCATCAACACTGCCAAAGATACTACACCCAGTCATTTCTTCCTCAAACCTTTAATTCATCACAGGAAGGAAGCACAGGGATCCTAAACAAAAAGCTGTAATCAAACAACTGTTTATGAAAGGAAAATGCCACAGAAAGCACCAAGCGCAGAAGTAAATGTAACAAAGGTGGCAAAGCCAAAACAGGAGAGAACACACAATAAGAGACACAGTGGGGAAAGGAGCAGAGATTATAAGAAAACATAAAGAAACAGAAATTCAAGAGTAACCAAATTACGAAAGTTGCCATCATGCTCAGTACAAAAGGCTTTCAACTGTAAAACGTTCAGCCAATCCTCTGAAATCTATTTACTGAACTTCTCCTATGGACCCAATACTATGCCAGGAACAGAAGATGCAGAAATGAGTCAAAGGCCGCCTGCCCTAGAAAGGCTTGGCCAACACAGGCAGGGAAAACAAGTCGGCAACGTGACAGCCATTCCAACACACGTGTGTACCAGGTGCGTGGAGGCCAACAGAGTGCCACCTCCCAGGAGGAAGGCAGGAGGGAGCCAGCCAGGAATGACCTAACAAATGGGATCTTGGACTGGGTTTGTCTTCTCTTCCCTGGCATAACCCTGAAGAGCTTCCCTCCATGGGAGAAGAGGAGGTAGTGAGAAGAAGGCAATTTCAGGCAAAGACCAAGATGTAAACAAGAACAAAATATTTGAGGATCAGCAAAATGCTGAGCCTCCAGATTTGCACACAGAAGTGAATGTAAGAGAAGACGAGGAAAAGGAAGATCAAAGAGACCCTAAATACAACTCTATAATGTTTGGATTTATTCTAGGTTCCAACCAGGTTTATAAAGCCCTAGAAGTGCTAGAAGGTGTTCCAGAAATCCATGCCACCTTCTATTAATAAGCAAGCAAGCAAGCAAGCGAGTAAATATTTTTCTTTTTTAAAAAAGACAAATTGAGAGCCTCTATCTGAATATCAAGGGAGAGGTACAACTTAGAAGAACAAAATGATTGTACGCAAGACTTAACTCAGCCAATCAACCATAGAGCACCCAAGATGGTTTTATTGTTTCCAAGTTTAACACTGTTTTTATTCTTAGTCAGATCCTGTTGAATATATACCAATGTGGAACCACTGGTTAAAATCAGAAGTATAAAAAACATGGAATTTGAAAAATACCTAAATGAACAGAAAAAAAATATTTTGATAAATTCTTAAAATAATCTTCACCACATCCTTAATATAAATTCATTTATGAAAAATTCTTTTATAAGAAATTCAAGGTATTGTCAGAACTTCAAAAATCAAAGATAATGCTATCAAATTTGCTTTTTCATTTATTGGCAATTCACACCCACAATGTGCTATGTGTAGCGAAGTAACTGCAAAAAACAACCTGAAAATTTCTCTTAAGCTAATGAAAAAATATCGTAAACAACCAATTTGGTATTTTAAAATATAAAATTAAAGAATTCCAAAACTAGTTGTGTCTGTTTTGATGCCATCAGATGTGAATAAAGTTAAATTGTTTTAAAAAATAGATTTGAAATAAAAACTCAACATGTCATTTTAAGTTTGTCCATCAATCACATTCTTTTTCTAAAATAATTAGCAGAGGGGGGCGCCTGGGTGGCTCAGTCGTTAAGCGTCTGCCTTCAGCTCAGGTCATGATCCCAGGGTCCTGGGATCGAGTCCCACATCGGGCTCCCTGCTCGACAGGAAGCCTGCTTCTCCCTCTCCCACTCCCCCTGCTTGTGTTCCTGCTCTCGCTGTCTCTCTCTCTGTCAAGTGAATAAATAAAATCTTAAAAAAAAAAAAATAAAATAAAATAAAATAATTAGCAGAAATTATTTTAAAAAGATTCTAGGAGGTTACTGAAGGATTTCAATAGAGAATAATATAATGAGATATGAAATTTTGACAATCGCTAGTTACAAATAGACTGGTGGGAAACAAATGGAGGTAAGGAGAGAAAGTAGTATAGATGCTCCCAAGAAGGGAATGTCAAGGGCCCAAATCTGGCAGGAGTGGCAGTGTGCGTGAGACTGGAAAACAGCAACAAGATGTCAGGAATAGTTTGCCGCCAACATCAACTTGTCTTCATTCTTCCTCCTTTTTATAGCTTCTGCTTTCCTTAGCTTCTAAACTCCAAAAGTTCATGATTTTTCCCCAAAACGGTCTCTGTGAGGGCAGTCTTAAGCACCAGCACACACAGCAAAGGTTGAACAGGAAATGCTATTTACAGGTTGTTTATTGTGAGGAAATACCCACATTTTCTGTCTGTCTGTATGTGGGTCTGTCTTAGGCCTCTACCAGAATGTGAGTTACCTAAGAATATCATCCATATCTCCTCACTGCACCAAAAATAACACCCAATGTAGAATGAGCAACCAATAAATATTCAGTGAATGAATGACACCAAACAATGAATGAGCACAGCCATGGATGTTGCCCCTTCACTGCAACCGAGATACATGACCACTACCCTACCTTCTGAAAACTTCCTACTCTCCATTATCCTATCACACAGAGCTTTTTTAAAGCTTAGTTTCAAGCTATACTAGTACTTAACAGTGTTCACAGGAAGGGATTACTTCTAATTTGGATAATGAGAGAAGGTGGCACAGAAGAGAGAATTGAAAGAAGTCACAGTCCAGGCAGAAAAACCAATAGTGTGAACAAAAGAGCTAAGACGGAATGTGATGAGGGGTATCACGGTACTGAGCGCAATGTGGGAACGCATGAGAAAAGGATGGGAAGTCAGGTATGGCTACATAAGTGAAGATCTTCAATACCGGGGCGCCTGGGTGGCTCAGTCGTTAAGCGTCTGCCTTCAGCTCAGGTCATGATCCCAGGGTCCTGGGATCGAGCCCCGCATCGGGCTCCCTGCTCGGCGGCAGGAAGCCCGCTTCTCCCTCTCCCACTCCCCCTGCTTGTGCTCCCTCTCTCGCTGTGTCTCTCTCTGTCAAATAAATAAATAAAATCTTAAAAAAAAAAAAAAAAAGATCTCCAATACCAAGCTAAGTAAGCGGAGATTTATTCCATAGGGCATAAAATCCCCTTTAAGGTTATTTTAAACTGGGAAGATTCAGAGATCTACTTTAGAAGTATTATTTGGCAGCAGTACACAGGATGGATAGAAGATACAGTGTCTACATTTTGAGCGTATCCCTTATTTACCTTCTTTTTAGAATTTAGAACTGTTAATACTTTAGTATCTCCTACAGCAGTCTACCAAAATGTCAATTCATTTATGACATTAATTAAATAATATACTGATTTTAAAATAATTCACCTAAGATTGCTTGTAAACTTTTAACTAAAAAACACATTTAGGATCTTTAAAGCATTATAAAACAGTTTTCAGCATCTTTAAAAAAAAAATCTGGAAATAAATTCAGATTTGGAAAGCCATCACTGAACCTGTGATCCACTCAAAAGAGCTCTATCTGGGATGTTTTTTCTTCCCCCAAGGTCATTCCAGGCTCGGTCAACTAAGAGAGAGGCTCCAAATGTCTCATGATAGCTGTAAACAACCTTGCCAACTGACACAAATAGGACAGAACTCTAAAGGCCTCAGCATTGCAAATCATCTGCTCTCATGACCCCTAGTGGGCATTAAAAAAAATAAAAAACACTTAAATTTTAGATTCACAAAACTTTAAAAAAATACAGAAGACAAATTTTATGACTAATAAACAAACACACATGTCTTTGACAATACATGGTAATTATATTCATTTAAAATGTCAGAAAGAGAAAATAGACTGCTTCCAGTCTTACCTGCTAGAGTTTTTAGGTAGTCAAGTGTTGGAAGAATAGGGGGTGATCTCCTCTGGAGAAAAAAGATTACCATCATTGTAAGAGAGAAATTTGTAATCCAAGAGCCAGGAATACTACTCGTTAACGAATGTGCTCGAGCCCAGCATCGAATACTGAACACCAAGGCTCTCACTCTTGAGTCCAGAGTACCATATATATAAAGGAGTTCAGAACTTTTCAAGGCAATCCTTCAAAAGAAAAAAAAAAAAAAAAGAATTTTCAAACCCCCAAATTATGGCTCCAGAGTAGAGTAAAATACATACCTGGGAACATACATAAATATCTTACTATGTCTAAGCATATTCAGAACACCATGATCAGATAATCAAAAGCATTATGTATTTGCAATATAATATTTAATGTGAATGGTTGAATATCAAATACATTCATTAACATTAAAACATTCTTTTAAATGTTGACAGTTATTATGTAGTTGTAAAACTTAGATTTTTTAAATCAAAGTTCCTAAACATGACTTAATAAGGGAAACACAATATATATGTGCTCTTCAGTAACTATCGATAAAGACACTGACACATTTGTAAATGAGAGGCTCTACACCTCACGTTCACACCTTAGTTATCTAGTCCTTTGGCAAGCAAGGAAAATATTCTACTTATTTTATCAAGAGAGTATCTATATCTTAAAATTCAGCCAAAATTACATAAGTCTAACATTTATAAAAACCAAAACCCATGAAGATAAAATACCTTTTAAAGAAATCAAACTTCAGAACCTATTTTCAGTAAGTTTTCTAGTTATAATTTTATAATGCAAAAAATTATTAATCAGAAATATTTTAAAATTAAGCTCCTACTGATCAAAACATGTCTTGTAATTTCCCAAAGATCTGACAGAGGGCACAAAACCATTAACAGTATCAACTTCAAACTATAAAGTTTCATCATGGCATTTACTTCCTGAGTTTAAAGAGAACAGAAGAAATGGCAAATTAGAAATTCAAGGTGATTAAATGTTTTATATAAATGAATCTAAATTAAGCTGAAAATAAATATCAAATAGTGCAAGATATTTTATATAAAGAAACAATGCAGGAGTTTATAAAAACCTGAAGGACAGACAGTGAGACAAATTTTTAAAAACCTGTCCCAACAAGACAATAAATATACTACTACTACAAAGATGTCATTTTGTTCTATTTTACATACTATAAGAAAAATGTAATAACGATAGGAAGTATATTATGTATTTTTATTTATTTTTACTCTGAACTACTTGAGAGAAATCCCAAAGCACTCAGCACTGACTTGTTAGTGAACACGAGTTGAAGCAAAACTGCTCTGGAATGTATTTTCTAAATCTGTTTTGAGTAATGATTATTAATCTAAGAAATAATATAGTGAAATCTAATGCATGCAATGAGAATACTAGAGTTATGAAATAAACTCAACTGAGAAGTTTCCCCACCTGAGAACACAAGAAAAGGAATCAAAGTATAAAAGAACCTGTCATTCACACCCCATTTTTTTTTTTTTAAGGAAGCAGGTTGCTAGGATAATAAAATGAAAATATGCTAAAGGGAAAAACTATGCAGTCTGAAGCTGCGTACACCACTTTCTGACCTAAGCAAACATCATACAGGTTTAGGACCCAAAGTTGACGCTATCTGGAGACGATTCAGAGGTCAAACTCAAGGTGCTACTTTATTTTCTAAATATACTTGGAAGACTACATACAGAAGTTCTACTACAGTGCTTTCATGTTGTTATCAGGCTACATAAGTTAAGAATGATGAAACAGTTCTCCTCAGAAGATGATGTTATTTAGGTATGGTAACACTTTAAACACAATATCCTAACATTTTATTCATGAAGACCAAAAAAATCAAAAGATACGTATGAGAAAATATTTCCAATTTTTAAATCTAAGTGTTCAAAATTTTTAAAAGTTATTATTATTAAAGCATGTATAAGAGTCCAAAGCCACTGTTTCTGTACAAGAAAAACTATGTTAATACCTTATAATATTCACATTTAAGATGATAAAATTAAGAGATCATACCTATTATTAGTAGTCAAATCACACTGAAATCCAGAGGCTTGGTGTGAGAACCTCACAAGAGGACACCGAGCATTTAAGATTTTTTGTACACCCACACAACCAGGGCCAAAGTGGTCAAGGCATTCTCCTATCACAGACAGGATCTTCTGAGTTGCAATTCTTTCTGAAGGAACATTTTTCACTTGAAATTCCATCAGAAAATTTCCTGAGGTCTGAGTAATAAAAACATTTGTAAATGGGAGCTTTTTATAAGAAGGAATTTCTTAAACTTTCTAGAAGGACGCTCTAAGTCATTTTGGCACAACAAAAACCAAAAAACAAGGAACACACACTCAAAAAGTTCTTCATGAAATCACAGCCAACAACAGACTTAAAAAATCTCCAGTTGTCTTTTGTTTCTCCAAAGTACTAAACTAAAAAATCACTAGCTTTTTATAATTAACTTATACGCCACTATGTATTATATATCACAAGTATTACATGTAGAACCACTGACTCTATAAATTCAGTGACCATACATCTGCCTTTTCCTAGTTAGCCATTACATTTTAATAGACGTTATAAGCCCACAGTAGTTAGAATAGGGAAGTACATGTACAAATCAAATCAAACAGCAAATCAATAGAAGAAAACAGAGTATAATCAGACTTTAACTATATATAGGAATTTAATATAATGGACTCCAAAAATCACCAGGGTAAAATTACTATTTAACAAATGAGTCAAGTGGTCATTGAAAAAAATAAACTAGATCCTGACTTTAGCTCTGAAACCAAAGTAAATTCAACATAAATCAAAGATTTACACACAAAAAGTTTTATCAGTAAAGTACTAGAAGACAATGAATGTTTTTACAAGTAGTGAAGGATTTTCTAAGCATGACACAAAATTCCAGAATACACAAAAGAGAAATATGATTGAAACCATCTCAAGGTAAAGCATATATTCACTACTAGATAAAAGACAAAAGTAAAACAATAATACATATGTCACATAAATGACTAATTTCCCAAATTTATGAAGCGTTTATACAAATGAAAAGGAGAAAAACTCACCCAATTCTAAAAACAGGCAAAAAAAACTTGAATAAGAAATAACAAAAGAAATAAAAATGGCTAAGAAATACAATAGAAGATGCTCTTGTTTTCTAGAAACTAAAGAAGAAATTAAAACAACATTGGGACTTTTCATTTATCAGTCTGCCAAAGACAAAAAGGCTGCCAGGATCACTATCGATGGGTGCAGGGAAACATGTATATACTGTCAGTGGGAGTGTAAACTAGGACATATTTGGTAGACAACTTCAGTATCTACTGAAACTGTAAATGTATACTTGGACCAGCTACTAAAATTCTAGGAAATTATCCTAAAAAAAACACTTGCATTGATGAGCCGATTTACAAAGCTGTTCACTCACTGTAGCATTATTTGTGTGGTATACACCCTTTGGGAATTCTAGTTAGCTTAATAAGGCTACCTACCCGCAACCACCGCATTTTCCAGAACCCATTCCTAAGCCCTAACAATGTTTATCATAGAAATCCACCCCCTTACTCCCAGCTGAGTGGACCAGGCATGGCAGCTGACGTAAGCACTAGACGACTGTACCATATATTCATCCAGAGATCTCTTCTGGGAATTGGAACTGAGGTTCAGAGTCAACCATGTGGCTGAAATATGTATCTCAGAAGCTTTGGAGCAGGCACATTCTACATCACAAGGACAAAAATGTAAAGAAAATCAGTGGGGGTGCAGAAAGTGGAATGAAGGGGAGAAAGAAAAATAAAGCAACTAAGTGGAAAGAAACCGAATACTTCATGGGCTCTTGATACGTACACTTCCTACGTCTAGTTCTTTCCTAAGACTCATCCACATTCCTGGCTCTGGGTTCAATGAAGCTAGTTTGAGTTGGTTTCTGTGAACAACCAAAGAGTATTAACTAATACAGTTGACAATAAAGAAGGGGGGAAAATACACCACCCTGTCTAACAAATAAAGGACTGGTTAAGTAAATTACGGTACATTCATTCGGTGCTCTGCAGCCACTGAAAAGGATGCAGTAGACTGAATTGCCATGACAATATTAACTGGAGAAAAAAAAAAAAGATCAAATTATAATCTGTAAAGATTAAGGGGTTTTTGTTATAAAAAAGAATTTCTACATGTAAAGGAAAAAGTCCAGAACAAAACGCATTAAACAATTCACAGTAGTTACCTCTGGAGGTGGTGGGACCATCAAAGATATTTACATTACACATTTTTGTAACTATTACTATATAATCATAAAAGAAAACTTTATGGGGCGCCTGGGTGGCTCAGTCGTTAAGCGTCTGCCTTCAGCTCAGGTCATGGTCCCAGGGTCCTGGGATCAAGCCCTACATCGGGCTCTCTGCTCGGTGAGAAGCCTGTTTCTCCCTCTCCCACTCCCCCTGCTTGTGTTCCCTCTCTCGCTGTGTCTCTCTCTGTCAAATAAATAAATAAAATCTTTAAAAAAAGAAAACTTTATATAGATGACATGTATACAAACAATCTCCACAAATAAATATGTTGTTTTCTCTACTTATTCTGTAATCCAGACAGATTTTTGTATTTAAAGGATTTCCTTTAAAAACATTAAAACTTCAAAAATCTAGCTTAGCCTCTTTGTTAAAACATCTTTATAACTTTTGGTTCCCTAGTCTATTTGATTTTAAAATTAAAGCACATACCAATTTACATGGGAAGCAGGAACCCAAACAAGAGTAACCAACAAATACAGCATAGAGCTCCTCAACAGAAAACCAAAGAAAGAGAAACATCTTCTGTCAGGATTAAACAGTACCAGGAGAAAGAGACAGATCTGGGGTCAAACAATCTCAGGATGGCAAAAGAAGAGCAACTGGGAGAGTGGTATCAGACCAGACGTTGGAGGAGCCATGCTGAACTCAGATGCATGGGAAGGGTTAGGAATACACAGAAGAAAGGGGATAATGAGATTTTTTAATTAAATACTATAAATGAGAGAAAAATAAAATCACTGAAGTAACAAGTGAAAATGACACCAGGGAAAAATAGATCTGAGTAAAGGAATCAGGGCCAAGAAATTGGAGAAACTGTGAACTATAAGTGGGAATGTGCCAGTTATTGAAGCTATTCACCAAATATTCTGCATCACCTTTCTGGTATTTAGTAGGATTATCAGGTTCCTGTCCGAGTTAAGTGCAATCACGTGATGACCTGCTTTCACCAATGAAATATGAACAGAGGCTTCACAAGCCACTTCCAGGCAGAGCTTTAAGAACCAGCAGTCAGTTCTCTACTGTGCCTTTCCACTGCCTTCAGCGGTAGAAGCACAGGCGCGCGTGGTGAAAGTTCGTCAGCCTGGGAGCTTGAGTGCCCCCTGCCGACCTGCTTTGGCCACACAGCCTCTGGCAAGAGAGAGGGAGATGTGCTAAATCACTGAGATTTGGGAGCTGTTTATCACCAAGGCATAACCTGGCCTAAACCGGCCAATGTAAGAAACAAGAGATCCAGAACCACATGAGGTAATTCTACTTACATAAATGCACTCTGCAAGGAAATAAAACACTGCAATTACGGAAGACGCAGATTATGAAAACCATACCTATTGTGAGCAAAACGAAGATCCTCCCCAAAATTACACTTCTCTAACAAATAAAACTTAGAGAAATTCTTCAGACACCTAATCAATAAACATTTACTAATTTTGCTGTACCTCTGGCACTATGTTTCAGATAAATTTTTAAAACATTCCTGCATGTTCTTCCTAACTGCTCAGGGATTATGCCAATATCTAATAAAAATAAAACACAGGGTAAGCACCTTGTCCACAGCAATGATTTAGACAACAGAATAGGACTTAGCCACCAATTTTTATTTCTGTTACCTAAATCCTGTCAGATTTAAACCCTTTAGAAAAAGAAAAACTAAAGAAAAGAGCAAAGGCAGATTTTAGCTTAAAATTTTGTGCTAAAATGATCTTTGTGGTAAGTTAGGTGGTACATTTCACTTGTAAGCATCTTTCACACATTAAGAAACTTACACAAGTTTACAAGTGTAGTTGGTAAATAACTTTCACTTATTCATTAGCAAAACATCTGTTTAGTGCCTGTGGTGTAAGGATATTCTACATAGTGCCAAAAGATATACAAGAGTCTAACACCCTCTTCCTAACTCCCCTCAGTTCGGGTCGAATAAAGCAAACACCCGGAACTATAGAGCAAGGTGGTGTGCCAAAGGAGACACACACCAAGAGGAAAGAGGAAGGAGAGTTCACAAGTGCACAAAGCAAACAGGCTCTTTTATGAAGCTGATGAATTTAAAAGTGCTTCTGGGGGCACCTTTTCCTTCTCCCTCCACTACCCCTCCCACTCCTGGGAGCACACGTTCTCTCTAATAAAATCTTTAAACAAAAGTGCTTCTGTTTTTCATTATAATTCATTTTTAATGTTTCTATTAGCAAAGCTGTTACAATCTTAAACAAGCACATATTTCAAAGTATACATTTTTAACACATTTCATTAGTTAAACCTACATACCAAATAATGTCAAATTATTTAGTGAGACTGGAGCACTGTCTTTTATTTATTTATTTTAAAAGATTTTATTTATGTGAGAGAGAGAAAATGAGTTGGGGGGAGGGGCAGAGGGAGAAGCAGACTCCCTGCTGAGCAGAGAGCCCAATGTAGGGCTTGATCCCAGGACCCTGAGATTAAGACCTGAGCCAAAGTCAGTCGCTTAACCGACTGAACTAGCCAGGAGCCTCTGGAGTACTGTCTTTTAAAATATCTTTTCGGAACGCCTCTATATTTCAGAAATCTAAGAGCCAACTAAAAGTTTCCAACTCCTCTACTTTCAAAGAAAAAGCTGTGTTTCCTATTTGCGTAATAATTAACTAGTAATACTGTTGCTGATAGTGATCAACATTTGACACTTATTACATGCCAAGCACCATCCTAAGTGTCATGTGTATTAACTCAGTTGGCCCCTCCAGTGCTCCATGAGATAGGTGTTATAGCACTATCCCAATCTCATGGCTAGAAAAATGTCAGCACAGAGAAGACAAATAAATTACCAAGGATCATACAACTGGTAAGTAAAAGAATTACTCTTCTGCAGTCTGGCTCTAGAGCACAAGCTTTAACCATTACAATACATTATTATGCACCTTGATTGTTTTGCAAAGTCTTTTTACCTACCTTAGGAATAACCCAGCGCAATTTAAGTGTCCCTGCCAGGAATTTAATACATATTAGTCTTAGTAGAGGAATGATCCATTTCATTTTGATGTATTTTGCATTCCTTAGCCAGTTTTAATTCAGTAAGTATATACTGAGCATATTAAGTTATGTCAGGCACTATGTGGGATAAGACAATGAACAGACACGGCTTCTGCCCTGCCCTAGCTTATGATATAGTGGGAGGAATATATCAGCCACTAACTAAACATAACACAGAAGAACTGTGGAGAGAGAGAAACATGAGCAAGATACTGTGAGAGTTTAAAAGGAACTGTGTGACTTTGGTTTGAGGATATACGTAAAGGGAGAGAGAAAAAATAACTTAAAACAGAATTAAGATAGCAAATGTCAGGAAAACTAAAATGCCACTAATTAACATATGAAACATATATAAGAACTTTTATAAAAACTTACAAAGAATATTTGCAAAGAATGAAAAAAGTTTTGTTTTCAAAATGGCAGGCTGAAGGGCCACCTGGACATCCACGTAGACAGGACATCCACGTAGACAGGATTACTAGTTCGAAATACGTAAGACAGAGTCATAAAAATCTACATTTTATAAACACACAGAAGCCTTTCCAAAGTTTTAATTAAATTAAAGCATCCTTTATACTGTTTGGCAGGATGGCAGAGATATTGGTTAACTTTACCAGTTCGACATGCATATTTATAAGTACTAAATGGAATATATAATTTCCAAACTGTAAGAGGAAAAAGTGGAATGAGGCAGGAATAAAGCAGCAATCCACAGGAATAAAAGGTACAGCAGAGAGAATACAGTCAGTGGTACTGTAACAACATTGTATAGTGCCAGATGCTACAAGACAGACACCTGTGGTGAGGACAGCATAACATATAAACGTTTCCAATATGGCACACCTGAAACTAATGTAATAATATGTCAACTAGACTTCAGTTTTGCTTTTTTTTTAAAGCAGCAATCCAGTAAGAGTAAGGGAAAGGGAATGAAAAGCAAAGAAAAAGTACAGAAAAAAACATAAATAAAAAATAAGATAGTAGAAATGAATCCAAAAATCATCAGTAATAATGAACAAATACATTGACTTCAAAGACTCAAAGCTCAGAATTAAAGCACAAAATTCAGTGATCTGCTATTCATCAGAGAGACACCCGAAGTATAACAGCATATTTAAGGTCAAAATGAAGATACAGACGAAGATACGTGAAGCAAATAACCAGTGGTTATCTTGACAGACAAAAAAGAATTTAAGGAAAAAGCGTATGTAGAGATAAAGGACATAATTGAATGATAAATGAACAGTAAGAAGACATAATAATCATATACCTATATACCCACATGTAGCTAACATAGCCTTTGAATAAAACAGAGATCAAACGAATTCCTAGGAAAACTTAACAAGACCAAAAATCATGAGATTTCAAAGTATTTCAATGACCAGATCACACAGATAAAAAAATTAGTTAAGATACAGACAATTTGAATAACACAATAAATAACCTTGGCCTAAGGGAAAAACTTCAGAACTCTTGGAAAAAATTATTCATTTTACTGCGTATGTGTAGAATATTTACAAAAAATGATCGTATATTTTATCAATACAAAGAAAGACTTTATAATTCCAAAAAATCAATGTCAAATAGATCACATTCTTTAGCCACAATGTTTATTAAAGTTTAGAAACCAACAGTTATAATTTTATTAAGTCCAAATATTACTTTTAAAATATCTTAACTTTAGTGATCTAAAGAAATATAATTACCTTGTTGGTGTTGAGTTTTCCAATTTCATCTAGATCCAAAAACATGTCCAAATCACATCCTAATTTCCCAAAACTGTTCACTGAGGAGCCAAAGGGTCTCACTGTACAGTCCTGAAAATATGCAGCTGCTAGGTCTTCAATAAGAGAACAGGTGAGATATCGGAGCTTAATGTCCTCCTCCGTTAACTGGAACTCCTTCAGGAGAGTGTTCAGCTGATCATCCATCTAGCTGGCCAGAACAAAACCAACAAAATACAGAAAATGTACAGGTCATATAAAATAACTGTCATTTTACTTCCAGAGATCTGATGGCTTTGGAGACCTACCATAAAAACATATCCCTTTTCCTTCAACCATAAAAATTGGTTAGATTTTTTTAGGGGCGCCTGGGTGGCTCAGTCGGTTAAGCTGCTGCCTTCGGCTCACGTCATGATCCCAGGGTCCTGGGATCGAGCCCCGCATCGGGTTCCCTGATTAGCCGATAGCCTGCTTCTCCCTCTCCCTCTGCCCGCCTCTCTGCCTACTTGTACTCTCTCTCTCTGTCAAATAAATAAATAAAATCTTAAAAAAAAAAAAAAGATTTTTTAAAATATCCCTTTAAAAAGAACTGAGGAATGATAACATTGGCAAAATCAAAGTTGGCCAGAACTAAAATCACTACTTTACAATTAAAGTATTGTTTTAGGAAAATGAAAATAGTCAAATAAAATGCTCCAGAAAGAGATCAAAGCAACCACAAAGCTAGACATTTTTTTTTTATCACATTTTAAATGAAGTTGGGGGGAAGGAAGAAGCAATGTTAAAGACAAGAAACACTAGAAATAAGCAATGCTTTAGGTAATGAAGGCCCAAGATCCCTCAACTCCTCAGAATAATAATCCTGTATCTTCACCAGAAAACTGGTGTTAAAAGCATCACATTTCGAAACTGTGCAAGTATTTAAAATAAAAATCATAGCCTCAAATGCCCTTATTTGGAAATAATATTGAAATTAACTGAACTAAGCATTCAACTCAAGAAAAATAAGTAAAAGAAAAGAAGGAAATGTAGGTTAGAAAATCAAACCAAAAAATACCATTTTGATAAAAATCATGAACTGATTCTTTGAAAGGACTACTAAACTAGCTAAACCTTTGACAAGCCTTTGTAGAAAAACTAAAACTAATATAAACAATGTTAGGGCAGCAAAACAGATTAAATCAGAAATGAGATTTTTTTTTTTTGGAGATATTTTTAAATTTACAGAAAAATGCCAGGTACAACTATATGTCATTACGTTGACTGGAAAAAGAAAACCTGAACAGTTCAAAGGCTGAAAACTCTGGAAGAAGGTGGTTACTTGGGAGGAGTATAATGGGGGTGTGGGGGCGGGCATCGGGGAAGGATTACTTTCACTTTACACTCAACATATTCTGTAGTCTATTTTATGATAAGAACCTATAATATACAAACTAATGTCATATATACACACACATATTTTTAGAAATTGGGGAAGTATACCTAAAAACTTACACTTTCTGCATAACAAAGTAATTCAGAAAGCTTCTTGTTTGAAGGAGGGGAATGATTACTGCTTTGTATACAGGACTGTTCTGAAGTCTGGCTTGATGGATTCTTCATCTTTAAATTGAAGAAACGCGACTTGAATGGAATTGCAGCCTCTGTCTCCATACTCGGAGTTCGAGTTACATTCTGTAGTGAAGTGACACTTTCCTTTTGAGAAAACTCTACAACTGCATAAAGACCCTATGCCAAAATCATAAGGAAAAGCAGAAGACATCTCAGAAGGATATATTTTACATATTTACATAGTGTTTCAGTTCAAATTTCCAAACGATTATCATAATACTAAAAAAGATTCATTACAAATGAAACACTTCTAACACAAGCCCTGGTTTTAATCATTATAAGCAGACTAAGAAAAGGAACACCATAAAGTGATACTAGTCAACAGAAGCTGAAAACGATGAAATAGAAAATCATAAGGCAAAACAAAAATCCCCTCCCCCCAGCCTTTATCCCTAAGATAACAGACGAAAGTATTCAAATAATGGAATCAGTCAGTTATAAGTTACTTAGAATTCTGTAGTAATGCCATAAGGATGTCTATTCTCATACAAAAAAAAAATCATTAAAGAAATTTAAAGAAAGATGTAAGATATCAAAAGAGAATCTAACTTTACCATATTGCAAATAACAAATGGGACCTTTACCTTTCAAAAGCATGAATGTCAGACTGTTTTCAAATACTTACAAAGCTCTCATAGAAGAAATGACTATTAATACGTCCATGTTGGGATAAATATTTCAGAAACTTTTTTTCACTGATTTTATTTGGGCAATGTATTAGAACAGTTCGCTGTGCCTGTTCTCGTCTTTCTTTCTGCACCTCAGAGAATTTCTTTTTGGGAGTCCTGTCTTCAGAGCCTGTGAATGAGACAAAAACATTTGCGGCACACACACACACACACACACACACACCCCGATATAAAATTTAAAGCATATTTCAATAAGGTATATAAAGATTTTATAGCTGACTAAATAAATCCAAATCTCATCTTCTTCTTTACCTATGTAAGAATGAAGCTATACTACTTTTGATTTTCATTTAACCATTCTCTTGTAATTATCATTAATGCTGTCCACTTTCCCAGTTTTGATTTACTGTATTCAATGCACAGCGCTGAAAAGAGAGAGATCCACAAAATTATAAAAGCAAAATCAGGAATGTAAAATCACTCGTTAACACCTCCCCAAATAAATACGCACATACAAAATCTGTATAAGCTGTAACATTCCAGAGCCTAAAAGAAATTATTATAAGCCTGAGTGTAACGAGAATGAGTTTAGAACTTTAATGTATTAAAGTAAGTTATTATAGTTTTTCTTTGTCGTGGGCTTTGATCTGGCTGAAACAATTAACAATGAGTTACCAACTACCGTGCTGTGTATCACAGGGAAATCAAAGAATTTAAAATCGAGTTGCTGCCCATAAAAGTTCATGATAATTTTACTAATGACATACATGATTATTTCTTTTTTCAAAAAAAACCACTCCAGGGGGCGCCTGGGTGGCTCAGTCGGTTAAGCGACTGCCTTCGGCTCAGGTCATGATCCCAGGGTGCTGGGATCAAGTCCCGCATCGGGCTGTCTGCTCAGCAGAGAGTCTGCTTCTCCCTCTCACTCTCCCTCTGTGCTCGCCCTCCCTACCTCTCTCTCTCTGTCTCTCAAATAAATAAAATCTTTGGGGAAAAAAAAAAACAACAAACACTCCAGGGGTTGGGGGTTTTACAATCACAGGAAATGAAGACAAGAGCTGTGAAAGTCAAGAATTAGATATTAATAAATCAATTGACCACAAAGGAAAGATCAACAACTAAGTATAAAGCCAAACAATGAGTTTTAGCAACTCATTTTTCCTCCAATATATTTAACTTCTAGTTGGGTGGCTTAAAAGTGTTTCCAGAAGTCTGGAATGGTAGATTCTAGAGATTATAAACCACCAAGTCTGATATCAATACTCTAAAGAAATTCCAAAGAGAATAAATAGTACAGAAAATAGAATCGGTATGTGGAAATTGGCAGATGCTTTTAGACTCCTCTTCTTTCAAAAGGTTATAAAACTGATGGATCAAGGAATACTACAAACTACAAAACAACAAACACACTTAATTTATCTTAATTTCCGCAAACTCCAATACATCCTTGCAGACCAGACAGACAAATGCGCGTTAAGGCCAGTAAGGGCTTGCGGAACCCTAAACTGTGTTCATTAGTACAGACCCAGAGGCAGTCTCTAATGGCACACCACAGAACTCTTGGCCCTGACACAGTCCCCATGTCCAACAATTGATCAAACAGGTACTGAGTACCTTTCCTGCATTTACTGTACTAGATACTGAAAACACATCTCTTAAATAGGGGTCCACATCTCCATCCTGAATGCCAACTCTTTAACATCCATCTCTTATTTCAAGGCCTAATGCCTAAACTGGTCTCATTCACACTAGTCTTTTCCTTCTCAAGCAATTCTTTGCTGCCGAAGTGACCTTTATAAATTAATCTTTTTAAAAAGTCTTATTTTTTGCCCTCCTTGCTTCAAACCCTTCAGTAGCTTCCCTACTGCATTCAAGATCAAGTCTAAACGTGACAGCGTGGGCATGTATAGTTATCGGCATTTTGTCCCACCGCTCCTCTTCAACGTCAGTTTCTACCATTTCCTCCTTTTGCACTGTTCACTTAAGGTATTCCATACACAATACTACCACATACTGTGAACTTTTAAAATCTTCCTGTCTCTGAATGGAATGCCCGCTTTCTTATTTTCTGCCTCGAAAACTCCCATTCACCCTCCCAGAGATGTGTGAAGACTTTTGACTTTCCAGGACAGACTCTCCTCTATCTCTCTATTACCTTACTTCAACATCTGTGAAAGAAGGTAATTCTTGGTATTGTATTTATTTAACAATATGGAAAAATATGTCTTCCATATTGAGGACAGAGACTATCATTATTCACTTCGATCTCAGTCTATTGACAGTCCTCCCAATTTTTTCCTTTTTTTTTTTTTTTTTGATCCAGGCTTTGCCTAGACCACCTCACCCACTTTTCCCTTTGTAATTACTACCTATATTTTCTTATCTCTAGTTTTCACTGAGTCTAGACTGATGTCCAAGTGCTTACTGTAAAAGTAAAGCCAAATTGTTAAATTTTATAAAGTAAAAGTATAAATCCTTCCCTAGTTCTCTGCCCCTAATAACACCCAACTATTAAGTTTGGTATTTATGTTCCCAGGTATTTTTAAGGCATATATAAATATACACATTTGTATTTCTCCACAAAGAACTATTTTTTACATAATTAAAAATTACTGAAATCATACTATACATTCTGTTTTATAATATGCTTCTAAAGACTTAATACATTGGTGATATCTCTGTTTCTATATGTTTACCTCATTATTTAAGCAACTGTGTAAGTATTCTTGTTAATTCATCATAGGTTAGTCAATCCTCTACTGATAAATATTTGGGTGGTTTTCCTTTCTTCACTATTACAACAATACTGCAGTATCATCTGCATACAATGTCTTTGCACCTTTTTGCAAGTATATCCCTGCAGTTGATCACTAGGGAGGAAAGACTGAATTTAAGATTGACAGAGAAATCTGATAAAAGATGAAGAAATGTGCTTGAGAAGATAGGAGAGGTAGAATCCAAAGTATTAATAGTTCTGGCCTTGAACAACAGTAGGTAAAAATGGACAAGACAAAGTTGTGAAGGAGGGGACAAAGAATTCAGGTAGTTTATTATCTCACAAAAAGCTTATCAAATCTACCAATGACACAAAGTTCAGAGTAAAAAGTAGTGAGTGCTAATATTTTACGACCAACACAATTTATGGCATTGATGACATAATCTGGTTAAGCATAAACTTAACACAAAAAATAAGACTAAATACTGTCCTGCATCTAAAATTAAAAACAACATAAAGATACAATGACATAACGGGGAAGAAAATTAATCTAGGAGTAGTTGCATATAAGAGGCCCAAAGTTTAATTTGATCAATGCTCAGAATTAGTCAAAGAAATGTCTTAATTTCTGGGATATGGATAGGGAGAGAATAAACATATATAAAACTCCAAACTTGGGGCTCCTGGGTGGCTCAGTTGTTAGGCGTCTGCCTTCGGCTCAGGTCATGATCCCAGGATCCTGGGATTGAGCCCCGCATCAGGCTCCCTGCTCCGCAGGAAGCCTGCTTCTCCCTCTCCCACTCCCCTTGCTTGTGTTCCCTCTCTCAATGTGTCTCTCTGTCAAATAAATAAATGAAATCTTTAAAAAACAAAACAAACTCCAAACTTTATTAAAACAAATGTTTTCAAAAATCCAAATTCAAGGGATAACAGAACTTCTTTACTATTTACTGGCAAGGCCACATATGCAGTATATGTTCTACTCTGGACATAATGGATATAAAGGATTTTAAAGAACCAGAGAGGGGCTCCTGGGAGGCTCAGTAGGTTAAGCGTCTGCCTTTGACTCAGGTCATGATCTCAGGGTCCTGGGATCGAGTCCCGTATTGGGCTCCCTGCTCGACGGGGAACCTGCTTCTTCCTCTCCTGTTTCCCCTGCATGTGCACTCTCTCTCTCTGTCAAATAAATAAAATCTTAAAAAAAAAAAAAAAAAAGAAACAAACAGAGAACATCTGGAGAGGGGTAGTAAAAGGTCTAGAAACTGACAGAGAATTACTGTAATAAAGAATTACTGTAAATACAGCCTAGAAAAAAAACTAATGAGAACCCAAATGCTGTCTTCAAATATAACAGTGAGCTGTCTTCAAATATAACAGTGAGCCCTCCATTCGTGCAGCACTTCAGTTTTCCAAGCACCTTCACATACACACTCTATTTAGAATCTCACAATAATTTTTGAGATACAGTGGGTCTATAACTGGTGGAAAAACGGCACAAAATCAAACATCTATAAGCTAAGTAGCCACTTATAGAATTAATCTGTTGTCTGATTGCCTAGCATCTGTCCCCCTTGTTCGAGTTACAACACATCCTGCTTGTAGAAAGCCGCTATATGAAGTTGTAGGGGGGCAGTCAATACAGTTATCCTACCTGTGACACTGACCCTCACCCCATTAGATAGGCTAAGATTATTAGACTATTTTGGATAGCTCCTCTGGGTCCAAAGGGTGGGGGGGCAGGGTGTGATCAATCAAAAGTTCTTTCTTCAAATTCAGGTAAAAGATGATCTTATTCTTCCTTCTGGCGAAGGCTACAAACATGTAAACATGAAGCTGCTGTGGCCATGCCTCTGTGTAGAAGAATCTGAGATAAGGGGGCAACCAAACAACAATACCCCACATTGACCACATCTATCCACCTTAACGCATCTAGCTCTCTCTGACGTTTGGTTACATGGGTTGGTATATCCTCCCCCCTCTACTTAAGCTAATTCAAGTTAGCTTCTGTCACCTGTACCCCAAAGAGTGCTGAATAATACACTGCATATTCTTACTCTTAAAATTGGGGGTCTTTTCCACTACCCAAATGAAAGCTATGTCAAAGCTAAGCTTACTTAGCTCATTACAAACATTTTCCAACCATTAGAGCCTGACCAAAAAATGGATTTGGTTGATTTATGAAATACTGTGTTCCTTGTTACTAGAAAATATTACTAGAAATGTTTTCCAACAAGTTCTCATACTAAATGGAAACCTCAACTGGAAATTTCTCAAGTTTCTTCCAATTATAAAATGTTATGCTTCTGAGTATAAAGTGCAGTTACCTTCTTCTCTTTTAAAAAATGGAAAATAAATTCAGACGAAGATCTTGTTAGGCACCCCAAAAGTCCCTGAATATTTAGCCAATTATGATACAAAATGAAGCACATTTCCTAGGAAAAACAACAAAGCTGTATGAACAAAGAGTATAGTCTTGGAATCAGGTTTTTTCCTTATCTTTGCTACTTCATAGATGGGTAAGTTTCAACTCGCCACTTGGACTAGCCTTTTTCCTCACCTATAAACTGCAGTAATAACTCCTTCCGTACCAACTTTACAGTTTTATTTCTCAAAGAGCTTAAGAAAAAACTCCCAAATCTAAACCACTATACAGATGTCAAATTACAATAGCTTCTTTGACAGAATCCTTACTTAAATTTTCAGTTACTTGAGCATTTTTAACAGAAGCAGTTTCTACCAAATACAATCCGATCAGTATGTCAGTGAAATGAATTCTCACTCCCTGTCAATATGAACCTTTATTTATACAGTCTGATGAGAAGAGCAATCCCACCATTTATTTTAGGGGAAAACATTTTACTTGATTAGCCTACTACAAAAATATTCCCAGAAATAATTTCATCTCTTAAAACTATAGCCCCAAGAGGGGCGCCTGGGTGGCTCAGTTGGTTGGGTGACTGCCTTCGGCTCAGGTCATGATCCTGGAGTCCCTGGATCGAGTCCCGCATCGGGCTCCCTGCTCGGCGAGGAGCCTGCTTCTCCCTCTAACCCTCCCCCTCTCATGTACTCTCTCTCTCTCATTCTCGCTCTCTCAAATAAATAAATCTTAAAAAAAAAAAAAAACTATAGCCCCAAGAAATGGCAGAAATCAACATATTGCTTAATAATTTGATTCGAGGTCTAAATGAACTCAGCTTTGTAACCTTGCACAAGTTACTTAGTTCTTTGAGCCTCTCTGTACACCTGTTAAGTGGAGACAGATGATACAGTCTTTGCTAGGTTGTTTTAAAAATTGTAAATAAGATACATGCAGCTTCTGGGTCACAAGAGGGGTTCAGTAATAGTGGGCTTCTCAATACACAAAGAAGCATATAAATTTAGAACGTTTACGGGGCAGCAGCCTGTTCCGGTGAATGCAAATCTGTTACCTGGTTACCAAAATGGCCAAAAGAATAAAGCAAACGGCAGTAAGGTCCACAGGCAGAATACTACATTTGGGAGCCGCGAATATTGTTATTCATTAATGCTTCACTACTCGTCCTCCATCAACAACTTATAAAATCAGATACATTTGTAAATTCAGCAACTGACCGATGTGTGGCATCACTGTTTTCATTGGGAACGTTGTTCTGCCAAATTATAAAATATTAGCAAGCCGTTCTCTTAGCCTGAATTTCACAAATATTTAAATACTTTCATTTCTGTACACGGGCGTCCTCAAAGAAACATCACCCACCCCACTACCACCACGAGCAAGGAGCGGCCCTGCGTTCCCCTGATGAGATTAGAGGAGGACGGGACACGGCCTCACCCTATTGCCAAAGGCTCCAGGCACAAGCCACGCGCTCGCCCACGATCCCAGTCTCTTTCCCTTTCCCTCGCCCGCGGTGGGTCGCCGATACAGAGCAAACCGAGAACACGGCGCCATCACCTGTCTCCACGTTCCTCGAGGACTGCTCTTCTCTCTTAACGTCTGCTGCCACAGTTCCTGAGCAACTGAGAAGCCTGTGAGTAGGACGCAGGACTTGACTTCTCTGAGCACATAGGGGTAAACAGGCCAACATCCCCACGCCGCGAGCCGCCATTGTCAAAGTAACACGAGCGGGAAGACGAAAGGGCACAGACTCCCGCGCATGCGCGCTGGAGCGAAAGGAATGGGAAGCCTAGAGGGTCAAACTAGGTGAAAGCTGCCGACTAAAGGTGCCTTTGCTTTTGGACCTGTTTCTTTTCCGCTCTCCCACAGTTCTCTAAAAGACCCCTCCCCAATAGAACGAGCCCACCACCTGCCCTTTAAAATAGTCCTGAAAACAGAACCAGAGAGCAAGGTCATGAGGAAGGAGCACGGACTTGGGAATCTCTACCTAGAGTATAATAAATGCCAACACTTTTTCTGTAACAGACACTGTTGTGAGTGCTCTACTTGTAATTGACTCTTAATCCTTAATCCTCGCGGAGCAGGGACCCTGATGCGGACCTCAATCCCAGGACCCCGGGATCATGACCTAAGCCGAAGGCAGAGGCTTAATGACTGAGCCACCCAGGCGCCCCAGTACTTCATTCTTTCCTGTGACCAAAAATAACATTCCATTATATGTGCTAAAAGATAAACTGAGGCATATTAAAAATTTTAAGAGATTATTTGAGGAAAAAAACAATTCAAATCAGGCAACATCCGATCTAGCAGATAGAAAGGACTCTTAAAGCCTGAAGACTTGAAAATAAAAACAAAAGACTTTTATAGGCAGAGGAGAGCAGGAACAAGGAAGTTAAACTAAGCAAAAAGCCTGTTGGTTATTGCAAAGTTACTTTCCTTTAGGGGATGTCCCAGTCCTATCAGGCAAATTAATTAGCTAGTGCTGATCCGGTGATTCCTGACTGACTGGCTTAAGATGCCATTTCGGGGAGAGTTGAAACAAATTAAGTCTTGGTTTGATTACATGGGGTTTAAACAAGTAACTGTTGGGGGCCTGTTGTCTTATTTTTAACAATGGATATGCTGCATATGGTTATCCATTTCTGCTGTTTCTACCTTTTGGCTATTATAAAAAATGCTACTATGAACATTCATGTATCAGTTTTTGTGTGAACATATGCTTTCACTTCTCTTGGGCATATACCTATGAGTGGAAGTGCTGGGCCATATGGTAACTCTGTTTAATCTTTGGAGGAAATGTCAGCCTCTTTTCCAAAACAGCTGCACCATTTTCATTCCCACTAGTAGTGTAAGAAGTTTCCAATTTCTGCACATTCTTGCCAATATTTGTTATTTTCTGTTTTTTGTTTTGTTTTAAGATTTTATTTATTTACTAGAAAGAGAGAATGGGAGAGAGAGAGACAGCATGAGAGGGGGGAGGGTCAGAGGGAGAAGCAGACTGCCTGCAGAGCAGGGAGCCCCATGTGGGACTCGATCCCGGGACTCCAGGATCATGACCTGAGCCGAAGGCAGTCGCTTAACCAACTGAGCCACCCAGGCGCTCCTTCTGTGTTTTTTTTTTTAATAGCCACACTGATGGGTATGAGTAGTATCTCACTTTTGATTTGCATTTGATGAATGATGAGATCTTTTCATGTGATTATTGGTCATTTGTGTATTTGAAGAAATATCTATTCGGATCCTTTGCCCATTTTTAATTGGATTTTTACTACTGTTTTAAGAGTTCTTTATATATTCTGGATATAAGTCCTTATCAGATATATTATCTGCAAACAGTTGATCCTATTCTGTGGGTTGAACTTCACTTTTTTGATGGTGTCCTTTAAAACACACAAGTTAATTTTTATGAAATCTAATTTCTTTTTTTTCTTTTGTTGCTTGTGTTTTAGTGTCATATCTAAGAAACATTGCCTAACCTGAGGTTTGAAGATTTACCCCTACGTTTGCTTCTAAGATGTTAATATTTTTAGTTCTTACATTTAGGTCTTTGATCAATTTTGAGTAAATTTTTATATATGGTATGAGGTAGGCGTCCAATTTCATGGTTTTGCTTGTGGATATTCAAATTGTCCCAGTACTATTTGTTTAAAAAACTCTACTTTGCCCATTAAATGGTATTGGCATATTTGTTTAAGTCAGTTGATCATAGATATCTGGGCTTATTTCTGGATTCTAAATTCTATTTCATTGATCTATATGTCTATCCTTACACCGGTACCACACTACCTTGATCAATGTAGCTTTGTAGTAAGTTTTAAAATCAGAAAGTATGAGTTTTCCAAACTTGTTCTTCTTTTCCAAGATTGTTTTGGCTATATCAGGTCCCTAGATTTCCATATGAATTTATGATCAGCTTCTCAGTTGCTGCCCAAAAGGCAGCTGGGATTTTGATAGGAATTGTGTTGAATCTGTAGATCAATTTCAGGAGTATTGTCATCTTAACAACATTAAATCTAAAACATGAACATGGAAGGCCCTTCTATTTATTTAGTTCTCCTTTAATTTCTTTCAACAATGTTTTCCAGTTTTCAGTGTATGAATCTTATATTTATTAAATTTATTTCTAAGTATTTTATTCTTTATGATGCTACTATAAATGAAATTGTTTTCTTAATTTTGTTTATGGATTATTCATTGCAAGTAGATAGAACATTCGATAGAATGTTCATTGCAATAGAAACACAACTGATTTTTGTATGTTAATAGTGTATCCAGTAACCTTGATAACTCAGTTTTAGTTCTAATAGTTTTTTGGTAGCTGCATTAGATTTTTCTATATATAACTTCATGCCATCTGCAAAGAGATAGTTTAACTTCTTCCTTTACAGTTTGGAAGCTTTTATTTCATTTACTTACCTAATAACTCTGGCTAGAACCTCCAGTACAATGTTGAATAGAGGTGGTAAGAATGCACATCCTGTATTGTTCCTGTTCTTAGTGGAAAAGCATCCTTATAGTTTATGTTATTAGTTGTGGGTGTCTTGTAGATCCTTTTACCAGGTTGAGGAAGTTCCCTTCCCTTACTGTTTGTTAAGCATTTTTATCAATGAAAGTGTGTTGGATTATTTTTATGTTTTGTTTTGTTTTTTTTCCTGCATCTATCAAGATGATCTTATGCTTTTGTCTTGCATTCTTTTAATATGGTGTATTACATTAATTAATCTTCAGGTATTAAACCAATTTTGCATTCCTGCAATAATCCCACTGGTCATGGTGTATAATCCTTTTTACATGTTGCTGCATTCAGCTTACCTATATTTTTGCTCTAATCTCTTAACTGGTTTGCCTCTTTCTACTGTACTCCATATAGTCTGTTCTCAGCCCTCTGGCTACAGTGTTGTGATTATGTCATTCTTTTCAAAATGCTCCAGGGACTTCTTTCCCACTCCAGAGTAAAAGCTAAAATCTTACAAGATCTGATATAAATGAGCCTCCCAATTCTTCTAGATCACATTTCCTGGCACTCTGTGCCTCATCTACTCTGCTCTTCCTATACTAGACTCTTTGATATTTCTCAGAAATCCAAGAAAATTTGCACCTCAGGGCATTAGCACTTGCTGTATTCTCTTCCTTGGTTGTTTTCCTCCCATATGGCTTATCCCCTTACTTCCTTCAGGTCTCTGTTCAAACGTTGCCTCACTAGAGAAGCATTTTTTAATCACTTTATAAAATAACAATGCTTTTACCCCCAAGTATGGCATAGTATTCCCCATTCTCCTTACCTACTCTTTCTTGATAGCATATTTTACCATCTGACATTATATATATGTTTCTATGCTTACTTTGCTTACTATCTGTCTTTCCTCAAGTACAGCATAAGCCCAAGTAAGTATATTTATTGGACAAGTATTATTGATTTATTACTATGGGCAATGTTCTAAGTGCTGGAGATAAAATGAAAAAAAAAAATCCAGATAAAATCCCTGCCCTATGGAGCTTATCTTTTAGTAGGGAGAGACATTCAATAAACAAATATAATTAAAATATGGAGTATGTCAGTAGTGATGAGTACATAGAGAAAGATTTTGCAAGAAATATGGAGGTTACTAATATTCTTGGTAAAAGTAGTTTTAATGGAAGATGGATATGAAAATGCAATTGGAATTGGTTCAAGTATGAATGAGAGGAGAAAACTTAAAACAGATGGTACAGAAAATTATTTTAGGGATTTTACTACTAAGGTGAATAGAGAGATGGGGTATGAAGAAAGAACATATTTGTACATTGATCCAAACAATCCCAGTAGAGATAGAAAATAGGTATTATGGGAGACAGAAGAGAAAATTGCTGAGCTATGTCCTTTAGTAGTTCTTGAGAGAGGATGTAGTCTAGTTCCCTAGTGAAGGGACTGGACCAGGAATATGGACTATATGGAGATGATGTAGGTAGGTGGTATGTTTGTTAAATGAATGATTCACTGTTGATCATAATAGTAAAGTACTTGCCCCAGGAAATTCCAGCAAGTGGCCTCACATCGTGGAGCTTTCCCTGATCTCCTTTGTAAACTGAGATCATCTTTGTATGTGATATAGTCAACTAGGTTACAGTCCACAGTATTAAATCTGGGTTCAAGTGCTGACTTGTTCTCATTTTCTGAAGACTGGTGCAACAATTCTTTTACTTGGAAGCATTTTAATGTGATGTATCAAAAACCAACTCAAATTATGTAAGTTTAAAAAATACATTCATGACTTTTACCAACATTTCCACTTCTAGGAATTTACCCTATAGATATACATGCACAAGTGTACAAGGTTATATATACAAGGAGGTTCACTGCAGCATTAATTGTAAAAGCAAAAAAATGGAAATAACTCCAACATCAATCATTGGTTACATCAACTAGGGTACAGACATACCATGAAACTCTCTTCCTTTATTACAAAGAGTGAGTTACTTTGTCTAGAGGGTACCTCTGGCTTGAAAAGATTTCAAATTTTTACATCATAGAATTCTAATTATATACAATTCTTTTACAATAAACATGTGTCAACATATTAACTTTACTGTTAAAAAATCCCATATAGGACACTTCAAAGATATGGTAATGTTTTATTTTTTAAACTGTGTGGTGGGGCCACGGGTGTTCATTGTATTAGAATTCTTCTTACCATACACATATTTGTAAATACCATTTTGTATCTATTCAATATTTAATAAAACATTATACCCATGATATCTGATTATTTTCTTGTTAATGATTTCTCTTTTGAAAAGGCTAGTGCAATTAAATCTTTGTCAAAGAGTTGGGGGTTCTACTAGCTGAGGTCAGTTCATTCAGCTTTCTCTATGTCTATCAAGAATTGCCCACATAGATTCTCTCGAACATGGGAAGAAAGAAATCAAACTTCTGGATGTCACTGAATATTTGTTACAGACGGTAGCCTTAATTTTTTGGTTTATAAGGTTTACTGACTGCTAAGGACTGAATTGTGTCCTCCAAAAAAGATATGTTCAAGTCCTAGCCCCCTGTACCTCAGAATATGACCTTATTTGGAAATAAGGTTATTGCAGATGTAATTAGTTAAGACGAAGTCATACTGGAGTCGCGGGGGCCCCTCATCCAACTGAGCCACCCAGGCGCCCCAGTCGCGTGGGCCCCTAATCCAATGCGACTGGTATCCTTATAAGAATATGGCCATGTGAAGATAGAGACATAGAAAGGATGCCATACGTTGACAAGGCAGAGACTGCAGTTGTGTGGCTGCAAGCCAAAGAATGCCAAAGATTTCCAGCAAACCACAGAAGCTAGGGAGAGACAAGGAAGGATTCCCCTACAGGTTTCAGAGGGAACATGGCCTCGCCAACACTTGAGTTTGGATCTCTAGCCTTCAAGACTGTGGGACAATACATTTCTGTTATTTCAAGCCACCTCAATGGTGCCATTTTGCTAAGAGCAGGACTAGCAAACTAATAAGCCTGCCCTTTATTTAGAGTTATAATCAATTTTATTTAGAGTTATTTATTTAGAGTTATAATCAATATTATTGTGACATCAGACCATAGTCATCAATCAGATTGAATGCACTTCACATCACGAAGCCAACAGACCCTTCTCTCGTTTGAGAGATCCTGTGAAATATAGCATTGGAAATGTCTGGAAGGACACTCTCCAAACTGTCAGCAGTGACAGTTCCCTATAAGGAAGGAAATCAGAGGCTTAGGTGCATAGAAATGAGGGACTTTTAACATATTGCCATCTTAAAAAACAAATATATTTGTTGCATCATTAAAAAGAAAAAAGATTCCTATGCAGATTGGGAAGTCAAAAGGAAAGGAGCAAAATATTGTGTGTACATTTCACATGCTACTAAAATACTTATTGTAAGTTGAGCTAGTCTTTGATAAAAAGTGAACATGTGTGATTTAGGGCTCAGAGACCATATATATTGTTTGTGACCATGTAATTATTGAAACACTGTCTTGGGGAACCTGGGTGGCTCAGTCGTTAAGCGTCTGCCTTCGGCTCAGGTCATGATCCCAGGATCCTGGGATCGAGCCCCGCGTCGGGCTCCCTGCTCAGCGGGAAGCCTGTTTCTCCCTCTCCCACTCCCCCTGCTTGTGTTCCCTCTCTCATTGTGTCTCTCTCTGTCAAATACATAAATAAAATCTTTAAAAAAAAAAAAAGAAAAAGAAACACTGTCTTTCACTCTCAAAAGTGTTCCAGTTGGACAATAAATTATATGGTTACCTTACCTCTTTTCAGATCCTAGTTTCCCGTTCGAGTCACCAAGAAGGATTTTCGTGTTCAAAGCCAAATACATCAGCTAAGAACAGCTCAGCAAACAGGGAAAATTTTACTAGCAGAGAAAAGCAAACTCAGGAGAGCAAACACTGGGACTTTTGAAAGGTATGCACCAATGCAATTTTTCAATTTCTGTGAAATTGTATCTTTTATCTTTAAGATCAAGGAAATTTTGCATTCTCTAAATATTTATATATTTGGAACAATAGAAAAATAATGCTTTTCTCACCATACAGCTGAATTACTTTATTTTTCCTTTCAAATAATCTTTAAGTAAAATTGGATTGGCAGTCCATGGATCTTATGCTCTCCCCCATCCCCAAATGCCTGAGATTCCTGCCTTCTCATCTGAGAGGTACAGCTCTAATCCTGGAGACTTCTTGAGCTCCTTTATTAAATGCCTGGGTGTTCAGTAGAAGACTTAACTGAACGTTTCACTGCTTTCTAGTTCAATCACATCATCTAATAAGGGGAGACCCCTCTGGATAAATGGCTCTTAGTAAATGAAGTGGTTGACTTTGCCCAACCTTTTATTTCACGTGAGCGAGGAAAACTCACAAACCCCTTTCACTTGCTTTAGACTAATACACGTAGAAAAACTGACTTAGTTATCAGGTAAACAGAGATATATATTTTATTCATTCATTCATTCATTCATTCAGTTAATCAGTCAGTCCAAAGAGCACATCTCATAGCTCTGCACCTCCAGGCTTGGCCTAGCACCTGGCACGAGGGCAGTCCCTGAATATAAACTGAAGATCAGGCACAAGTGTCAAGAGAGAAAAAGAGCACGGACCTGGGAGTCAGGAGGCTGGATTCTAGTCCGACCTCTACCAGGAACCTGCTCTGCATGTCCTTAAGGAAAGGCATTCAACATCTTGCTTTTGTCCCTTGTGTCTGCTAAACTGCAGAAAGAGGAACACAGGATCTTCTGTTTCATCATAACACAAAGACTTAGAATTCAGACCTATTCCCTTAAAATTATGTGCCAGTACTATAAGGTTATACAAGACTTATATCAAAAGTTTCTTGGGGCGCCTGGGTGAGCTCAGTGGGTTAAGTGTCGGACTCTTGATTCCAGCTCAGGTCACGATCTCAGGGTCCCGAGATCGAGCCCCACATCCAGCTCCGTGCTGAGTGTGGAGCCTGCTTGAGATTCACTCTCTTCCTCTCCCTCTGCCCCTTCCCCTGCTTGTGCACTCTCTCTCCCAAAACAAACAAACAAACAAAAATAAAAATAAAAAAACAAAGAGTTTCTTATAGCAAGTGTTTCTGCCCTCATGGAGTCCATTCTCTGCTGAGGAAAACAGACTAGTCAGTAGATGACTTCAGTCTAGCGGTAAAACGCTAAAAGGGATAAAGAAGTAGAAAGCAGATGTTCCCCAAAAGGTATGGTGCAGTGAAGAGGGAAGGAGGGAGCCAGTGTAACTGACAAGAGTGGTAAACACACAGGCACACACACTCAAGGTTGTGAGCAATTTGACATTAGGGACTGTGACTTATTCATCTTGTTTCTCCAGCAGTAAGAACACGGTAGGTTCACAAATCATTGAATTATGAACAAAAAAATTTTAAACATACTTATGCTGACAAAGGACATATATTCATAAGCTTGCTTGTCGCTTCTCATTTCAACCAATCTGATCATCTTTTTTCTTCCATTTGCTCCCTTAAAGAAAGCAGACGTTTTATTATAATTTTATATGCTTTAAAACTTAAAGAATTTATTAATATTCTACCAATTTGGAGTTAAGATAGTTTGGACAGAGATTAGACTACAGTTACCTTTCTGTTATATGAAACCAGGATTTGTAGTGAAAATTAAAATGCAACTCTGAGTTTCTTTTAGGTACTTAAAGAACAACTTTTTAGTGTCCTTCAGATAGTTTGGCAATACTTATCAGAATTGCAAATGCATGAAACCTTTGATTCAACAATTCTACTTTTATAAATGTATTGTATATACTTCCTTGATCTTGGAGCTACTTTCTTATAGCAAGAGATAACAAAATAACCTAAATTAATGAGGAGGATCTTTATTTTCTGATCTGAAACTATCTTCAAGATACATTGTGTAAATTGCTAAGTAAAACAAACAAAGGGTAGGACACAGTATGCACACACACACTTGGCTTGTATGTGTACAAACTATTTGTGGAAAGATACAAAAAAAACTGGTAGCTTTGATTGACTTTGGAGATGGAACCAACTGTGAGAAGGGTATTATTTATACCTTTTGTTCCTTTAAATTTTTAAATATTTAAAAAACATGTTGTAATTCTGAATTTTATTTTAAAGATTTAAAACACTTCTTAATTAAAAATGTAAGATGCTTTCAGATCTACCATTTGCTTCAAAGGAGAGAAATTGAATACCTAATTATCAGGGGAGCCACGGAGAATTACTTTTCATCGTCTACATTTTTGCCCCTTTTAAATTTTGTACCATGCATATTTAGGGGAAAAAAAGGAAGTACCTTTGAACATGTTAGAACTTCCATGTCACTTTGTTAATTAAGTGATTATATAAATTCCTAAATACAGTCAAACTAAACTTAAAAATCATATAAACCTTCATAATTATATATTCTAAATTTATTATAATTCAAACCGACCATCTACATTCATATCTTTGGGGTTTTATGGTTTTGCTACTGATAGTAATTTTTCAAAACTGTCACTTATAGCTCTATACTTCTAGATATTAATATACTTAAGATAGTAAAAGCTTATTCTAAAATCATATGTCTCTTATTTAACCTTTAGGAGTAAATTGTAGAAGCCACAGAATTAAGGTTGACATGATGTTCTCTGAAATAAAATTAATGAAATAGTAAATCTATTACCTGACAAGCCAGCTGTTGAATATATTCAACGTGCTCATTGTATGATCACTTCTGATTGTCTTTCTAATCTCTACGCATCCCATTTGTCCAGAAGTTCAAGCCCAGAGGCCTTTCATGAATAATAGCTTGGGTATTAGTATGCCAATCCCAACCATTCACTAAAATTCAGTTTTAGAGTTTACCAGGATTTATATGGCCCAAATAAAATTGCCAAAGTGATTTTTCATGGTTATATTATGCAGAGAGATAAGCTGTTCCTATGATGTATCCATGAAATGATGTTGAACTCTTCATCAGTTCATATTATGAGATCATCTTTCAATATTTAAAGCAATCGCTTAGGCCCTCATATTCAGATTGGCAACACTCACTGTTTCCTGAGTCTGTCTATCTTGGATCACTCACGAATCCTAGGCTCAGGCTTCTCCCTTCCAAATAGACAGTCCTGTCAACATCACCAGAAGAACTGATGAATCTGATCATTTCTGACTACACAGAATTTTCTGCTGCTGCTATTTCCATTATGGCCACAGGGGGACACTGTTGAGAACTGGTGGTCATACTCATCCAAAGCTAGGATGCCGCCATATAATGCTACCAGTATCTCAATGTCTTAATAAAAATAGCTTACACTTAATTGGAACTCACTATGGGCCTATGCTGTATTATGTCTAATCACATCATCTTATTTAAATCTCACAATATGCCTGTGACTGTTATTATTATCCTTCTTTTATAGATGCAAAAACAGATGTAGAAAGATTAAGTAAAATGACCAAGATCACAAAGTAGTAACTCTAACCCAGGCTTTTGTTTGTTTGGTTTTGGTTTTCCTTTTTTTTCTTCTAACCCAGGTTTGACTAACTTTCTAGTCACCATGATTATAAGTCCATCCCCTCAATATGTTCATGCTTGTTGACCTTGTAATTCCACTTCTAGGATTAGAGAGGCACATAAAAGTTTATGTTAAATGCAGTATATAATGTAGGGATATTATTGGAGACAATCTAAAGGTTCAACAAGGAGACACTAGTTAATTTATAATCCATCCACAGATTAGAATATTAATAGATTAATTTATTAAGTGAATTAAGCTAGTCATGGTTCTAAACATTTTGTTTCTTGACTCAGTTAACCCCCCACAAAACCCTAGAATAGAGCTATTATTATCATATTTCATCTAGTCTAAGATACCATCATTATAAAACACTCCCTTATTTTATGCGCCACTAACAAAAATGCTGCCAATTAATCTAGGATACAATGCTTTCTCATCGTCATTGTGAAGTACACTTTGATTTCAGAGATTTTAAAATTTGGGGAAAATGTTTATCTTAGATTTGATCAAATAAGCTATTATCATGTCTCATTTTATGGGTGAGGAAACTGAGGCACAGCGAAATTAAATAATTTGCCTGAGGTTAAAAAAAAAAAAAAGGCTGTAAGTAAAGGTAGAATAGTGATCGGGGTGACCCACAGTCCCAGTTTGGTCGATCACTGTGTGTCTCTCTCCTCCTCTGTCTGAAGGAAAAATATAATATTTTAACAATATTAAAAAAAAAAAAAAAAACCAGGGATGCCTGGGTGGCTGAGTTGCTCAAGTGTCTGCCTTCGGCTCAGGTCATGATCCCAGGGTCCCGGCATCAAGTCCTGTGTGAGGCTCTTGCTAAGCAGGCACCTGCTTCACCCTCTGCCTGCCACTCCCCCTGCTTGTGCTCTCTCTCTCTCTAACAAATAAATAAAATCTTAAAAAAATAAAAAATAACCACCACCACCCCAAAAAAACCTACCAAGATCCTCAAAGAGAGTAATTCAGGCACCTTAGAATACATAGAGGACTTTTGGACAAGCCTGAAATCATAGGAAACATTTCCATCAGGGCTGTAAGAACGCCTTCTATTTGGTGAATTACCTAGAGCTCTGAGCTACAGAGTTGCCTTCAGGGAAAGAGCTCTGTATCTTCTTCACTACCCTCTGAAATGTTTTATGTAAATGAGTAGCATTGACAACTTTTCTCTTTCCTGTAAGATTTTTTTTTTTTTTCTAAGTGATCACTGTTCTTTTGGGAACATGAATGGTCAATTAGATTTAACCTCACATACCAGGGCTTGCAAACAAATGTTTTGAAAATGTGTGAACACCAGCTTTTGTGACTGCAGTTTGACTTCGTATATTCTAGCCTGAGTGTTTTTTCTCTTTTTGGGAGGCTAGGCTTTCTAAAGTTGGTCCAGGGACCTGACTCTTTCCTGAGAAGCATTTGACGAGATATTACAGTACAAGAGTTCTGGGCTTTACCTGCCCACTTATTGAATCAGACTATGCAGGGGTGGGATTCAGGAATTCGCCTCTTTTACAAGCTGTTCGGTGTGCTATAACTGGGGAACCTCCCCCGAAGACGATCACCATGTGTGTGTGATCCCATGGAAGTCTACACTTTTCTGAAGAAGTTGTTTTACCCCATGAAAAACACGTCACGTGATCTAGTCATTGCTAGAGTTACTTTTCTCCCCAGAGAAGAGGTTAGTGCTTTTTTGCCGTATTCAGAATAATAATTATAATGATGATGATGATAATAATAATAGCTATATTTGTTAAATTTGCTTATACTTTTTTTTTTTACTTAGGTTACAGAGTTCTATGGATTCACGTATATGTGAATTTTGATTGTGGAGCCAACTTTAATATTGAGTTCTATGATTTTAGACCCTAACAGGCCCACATACTCAGACACATAGTCACCAGTGTAGAGATACTCATTTCCCTTCTTGCCACATTTAATACTAACTCATATCTTCTTTTCCTTAAAAAAGGAAAGGAAGAAAGAAGAAAGAAAAGATCCTTTGAAGAGGCAAGAGGGAAGGGAGATGGTTTTGCCATGTTTCTTTCCTCTGGGTGTTGCTCCCTCTCAGGGCCTGGGTCACTGGTCCCTTTGCCCACCCCTCTGGAAATGCCACTGCCACCAAGCTATAGGAAGACTGTCTTCTTATGGGCAGAAACATCTTCCCCGGGGCTGCAAGACAGAAGAAACCAGCCTCTAGTGGAAGACTGGTATCTGGGAACAGAATGATCCTACCCCTCTGGATGGAGCCAGCATTTTCTCCCCAGATCAAGCCACTTCTGCTTGGTCTGCGGCCACCCAGCTGGGTTAGAAAAAGAGAAGCCTGCCTGATGAGCCTCATAGCTAAAGGCTCCAAGACATCAAAAATTAAGCTTATTCCAGGGGCGCCCATGTGGCTCAGTCGGTTAAGCATCAGCCTTTGACTCAGGTCATGGTCCTGGGATTTTGGGATTGAGCCCCACATCAGGCTCTCTGCTCATATACCTCTCCCTCTGCTCCTCCCCCTACTTGTGCTCTCTCTCCCTCAAATAAATAAATAAATAAATAAATAAAATCTTTAAAAAAAATTAGGCTTATTCCAGTCTGTTCCAGTGTTCTAAAAAATAAGTACTCCATGCAGTTCCCTGAAACATAGAATAAGCCTTTAAATTGACCTTTCCAAAGAGACAGTTAAGACCTTCCTAAAACCTCTACAAGCTATGGAAAACTTTCAGTAATTTCTTAGTTGGGTTTTTCTTTAAAAATGTCCTGCTTCTTATCAGTTTTAGATATTTTTCCAAGAACCCCAGGGAGATTTGCAGTGGGATAATCCAGTTTACATGGTAAAAATGAAACCACAACCACGTAGCTTATGATGCAACAAATAAAGTATAATAAAAGAAGCACTGAAGAACACCGGAAGGTTTGGTATCTTAAGAAGAAAAACCACAGCAAGATGGCTTTGACCCGCTGACATCATTCCTCAGGTTTCTCCATGCACTGACCCGGGGTTTCTGTTTCTAATCAGAACCCTATTCAGGTGAAAGAAAAACCCAACCACCACCAAATTCTACTCTACACCCCATGCCTAGAAGATGTGAAATTTTATCACTGGATGTGCCATTTTTCCCCTGTACTCTCTTACTACTTTCTCCATTCAAACATTGGAATAATAGCCATAGTTACTAAGCATCCTCACTTCCTAAATAAGGCAACTACAGCTCAGAAGGATTAAGCAGCTTTTCCAAATCACACAAGTGAAAGGAGGAAAAAAAAAGACGTCTGGACATCACATAACACTAAAACATGTTCTTTCTTTTGCCCTAGACTTGCATCAGGAAAAAAAAAAAGATCATGCAGGTGATTATATTTGATTACAGTGTATTTATGGGAACTACATAGAGCAACATTTCTTTATATTACTCTCCTCTAAAAGGAGCTGTGTGTTACAATGATAAGAGACAGGATCTGTGGGTCAAAAAAGCTAGCCTCTGAACATGGTTCTGTTATTTGCCAGTAACGTGACTCTGGCTAAGTCACTCCCTTGACCTCATTTTCATCATTTATAAGTTGAAGGTGTTGGATGAAATCACCTCTAGGATCTTTGCTTACTTTGAGAATCTATCCATGTCAACTAATAATACAACTGAAGCATGGACTTAAGTGACAAACAGCTATTCCTACACAGCAACTCTGGATGTGTACCAGGTTGCATTAGACATCATTCTCTTTATGTGAGGGCTACATTCTCAGAAAAGTCCTACGCAAGGTCTAGTCCATAAGCATCCCTCACACCCTCTAACTTCCTCCACTCTGTTCGTTTCCTACAGGGCGCTTGTCACAAACTATACTCCTGTATGTGCCTCTTTCTCACCGAGCTGTAGGCTCCCCGAAGGCCACTGAGTTTGTTCACTGCTATTTCCCAGAAGCCAGAACTGCATAAACACACACTCAAGGATGTTCACATAATAATTGATTTAACTTTTCTCCTAATGTCAAAGCTGTGGGTTGTTATCAGCCTTTGAAATTGTAAAAAGTCAGTCATTAAAAAGTAAAATGAAAACAAAGTAGCTTTTGTTTTCCTTTCCATAAAACAAAAAACAAAACAAACAAAAAAAACCAAAAACCAAGTCTCCATGAATTTAAGTGATTAGCACTGGGTCACATGGACAGAAAGTGACAAAGCAGAGGTTTGAATCTCAAAAGTGCTCTTTCTACTTGCCCAGTATTTCCCAGTAACATTCTCCTGGAGTTTTCTGAAATTCAGGGCCGTCATCTACTGAATGAGACTTCCCCAGGTAATTCCTATAGGCCAACGTGGAGCCCGGATTCCAAACCCAGCCAGGGTCAGCAGGGGAGTTCAGATTAGGAGTGAAAGTGTCTCCTCCCACTGCCCACTGCTGGGTGGCCAGGTTCACTGTGCCCTGTGCCCCAGGGGCCTGATGGCCACTGATGCCCTTCTCCCCTTCCTAGCTCTGCTGTTAGAATGGGGATGGAGCTGGACAGGAAAGCCTCCACTCACAGCAGGTGGATGCCTGTCATCAGCCTACATCATTGAAGATTTTGCTACTTGGGTGGAAATGAGGTATTTAGATGTATCATGGAATATTAGGAAAGCGAGGGTAGGGTGCAAAAACAAAGTCACTAACCTCAAATGTGTCGAAAGTACCTGAAAACATTAAATTTATCTATAGGCCATGGTGCGCTGCTAACTATTTAACAACCAGCCTTCTCAAAACCCTGCCCCGGTTTGTAGCATTTGCTGGTTTCCGTGGTGTGACTACCCCCACCGTGGCCTATTTTAAGCTACCAATCGGAGGCCACCGACTGCAGAGTTGCAAAGTGTAGTATTTCCACCACACACCCACATAATAGACGTGAGTAACCTCGGGAGCCTGGGAAATGATAAAATGCAACAAAATAATCAGAGGTAAGTTTTCAGTATTTATTTTAGTATTTATTACCTTCGTCTTCAATATCTATTTTACTTACTTGTGATTCCATACAATTTTATTTTTCATAATGACTGTTTAGCAAGCAGCTCTCACAGATCCTGCAAAGTTCAACACTGGCTCCGTGAGCTGGTAAAAACGGGCTCCATCCATCATGTTACTGCCTGTAGGGGTCTGGGCAAAGGACTCTTGTTTTGGGGGACAGTGCTGGCCTGGGGACTATGTGCCAGAGGTGGGTGGGTGAGTGGGAACAGTGCTCACCCACCTTAAGAACATCTTAGACCCCAGCAGCACCTACACAAGCCTACGTTCCACCAGCACCGGGGTGAGAGGCTCAGGAAGTCCCTCTGGGTTCCTGCAGACCCCAAGAGGAATTAAAGCCAGTTTACCGTAAGGATAAGCAAAACTGGTGTTCTACTTTGGAGGCTTCCTGGGGCTCAGCCTTCCCCCTCATCTTGACTCCTGGAATATTACTGAAATTCCTTCGAACCTCTCCACTCCCAATGAGAGAGCAAAGATTAAAAATATAAACACCTGGCTGAGGTATGCCTGAAATCCACTCACATCATGAGGAAGGGGGCCAGAGGTGAGAGGAAAGGAGAGGTCAGGATGGGAAAGCAATCCGGGGCATTTCACAATTGGCCTATGGTCAGTCCTGTTTTCCTCCAATGCCAGACACGCACTGAGCTGCTTTTGCCTTGGGAGGCACCCACGTGCGGGGTGGTGCAGGAAGTTATTGTTTGGGCTTGGGGTCAGACAGGCATGGATTAGAATCCAGTTTCCTTGGACACACTACTTAAGCTCTTTAAACACAGGTAAACCCCCGCCTCCCCCACCTCCCGCAAAAGGAGACACTAGAGCCCACCTCAGGACTGTTGTGAAGTAATCTGGCTAAAGGGAGTGCCTGGGTCATGGTAAATCCTTAAAACATAGTAGCTATCACTGTTATTTTAATATGGTCCAAGTGTACAGTGATGCTTGGTTATTATGAAATGCATCCATCAGAGCATCTTGATACTAAGAAAAAAAGTTGTGATGAACAGTAATCCATGGCTTTAATTAAGAAAGGAAAGAGTCAACCCCCTCCTCCAACACACACACACTAAAAAGATGGAGTCTGGGGGCACCTGGGTGGCTTAATGGGTTAAGCGTCTGCATTTGGTTCAGGTCATGATCCTGGGATGGAGCCCCGTGTCAGGCTCCCTGCTCAGCTGGGAGCCTGCTTCTCCCTCTCCCGCTGTCCCACCTGCCCAACGCCCCCCCCCCACTGTGCTCTCTCTTGCTCTGCTCTCTCTCTCTCAAACAAATAAATACAGTCTTTAAAAAATAAAAAATTAAAAAAATTAAAAGATGGAATCTGTTGGCAATTGTTTCTAGCACTGTAACATAACCGTAAGGGCAAACCGCAAAATGTGCTTGACTCACTTGCCTTAAAACAAATCACATGAAGATAAGCACGCCATGACTTTTATAGGCTGCTGAAATAATGCGACCTGTTGCCCCACATGTTGTGTGTGAAGAATACCATCTCAAAGGAGAAGAGTTAAGGTCATTATTTGGGGAGGGTGTGCTATTCTAGTGTGATTTTTTCCCCCTACTATCCATTTACATTTGCAGTTATCTATTTTTTATTTTTTAATTCCAGCATATATTTTTTAAAGATTTTATTTATTTATTTGACAGAGAGAGAGAGACAGAGAGAGCAGGAACACAAGCAGGGGGAGCGGGAGACGGAGAAGCAGGCTTCCTGCTGAGCAGGGAGCCCAATGCCGGGCTCCATCCCAGGACCCCAGGATCATGACCCGAGCTGAAGGCAGATGCTTAACGACTGAGCCACCGAGGCACCCAATTCCAGCATATTTAAAGAAAAAAATTTAATTGCAGTATAACTCGCGTGCAGTGTTACATTAGCATCAAGCATACAAGGCAGTGATTCAGCAATTCTGTGCATCACTCAGTGCCTGTCACTGTACTTAAGTTTTTGCAGCAATGCCTCCCCTCAGCAAACAATACCTTGCCAATACTTACTTCCCTCCCATCCTGGGCAGTCCCTTTTCCATGCACCACTGGCACGTGATTGCACAGTATTGGGGTGGGGGGCTGAGGTTAATCAGGAGTGATAGGAGGTACCTGAGGTTGTACATGAATAAACTCCACAAATTCATGTGGGACTGCTCCAGGCAATTTGGGGGAGCCCCACTGCTGGGCCTTTCTCCTTCTCTGAAAATGTGAAAAATGAAAGCACTTGCCCAGGGGCACCTGGGTGGCTCAGTCGTTGAGCGTCTGCCTTCGGCTCGGGTTGTGATCCCGGGGTCCTGGGATCGAGCCCCGCATCGGACTCCCTGCTCTGCGGGAAGCCTGCTTCTCCCTCTCCCACTCCCCCGCTTGTGTTCCCTCTCCTGCTGTGTGTCTCTCTGTCAAATAAATAAATAAAATCTTAAAAAAAAAAAAAGAATAAATTGGTGATTTAAAAAAAAAAAGAAAGCACTTGCCCAGGCCCCAGGCCAGAGCCTTGCACAGTTTCTGGGGGGCAGCCTGAGCCGTGTGGCAATTTTGGAAGCCCAAGATTAAGAAATGCTGTACCAGGCAGGACTTTCTATTTAGGAGGTGGAAGAGAGAAGCATAGAGTAGTTTCTGTTTTCAGAGGGTGGCTCAAGGACCTCAAATTTGAGGAAGTCATAGCACAGAGTAATTAATAAAAACATCATAGAGATCACACAGAGCATTGCAATTTAGGCACTTTGAAAGACCTACGTTTTAGCTCTCTGCACATGAGAACAGGAGATCTCTGATTTGCATACAGGCCCAATTGACACACAGCCCTCCTAGATAAACAGTGGCCACAGTCGAGAGTATTCCGGAACTTCCCCTCCCTTCCCAAGGCTTCCAGGGGATTTTTCTCCCCTTCCCCCCACGTGAGGATTCCATCTCTGCCTCAGGCCCCATTTCCCTTGTTCAGTTGCTGTTCCCACTTTGCATAGTGCTGACAAAAGTTTATGAGTACAGTGTCACAAAAGGTGAGGCGAAGGCAAAAGGAAGGAGGAGGACAGAGAAATTGTCCCTTTCATCCTTGGCTGCACCCCTCAGCCAACAGTCCTAGGGAGCATCTGAAGTGTCGAGGGCTGCAGGAGCTGAGGGCATAGTCTTGCACACAGATGTTCTAGGAGGGCATTATAGAGACTCACCCTTATTCCTTAAGGCAATCAGGTGGGGCCAGGGGCTCTAGGGCCTGTCCCCTCTGCAATCTCATCTGGGATGGGTGCCGCTAGGGCAGAGCAGAATTTAATGATATACCATGTGGTCTCTACAGATCTAAGGGACATCCCTAATCCACCTCCAAATGTTGAGTGAGGCCAAGCAGGTCCATCAGCCAGCAGCTGCCATGACCCAGGCCCTGCTGGAGGAAAGGGTTTGTTTCAGGTACCAGAGGAGCATGGCCCAAGGTCACGGAGAATTAGCAGTGGGGGTGAGGCACGAGGGAGGCCTGGTGGTCCCTGAGCAGGGGGAGTCTGCCCTGAATCTCTTCCTCCACTGGATACTTCATCCTCTGGGCTAATGTGTCCTTTTAGTGTTGTCCAAGCTAACTGCTATAACAGTGCATGCATGTTCTGCAAATTAAAGCTTTGTCATTTTGAAAGACTTAAATATGAAAAAGTCTGATTGTAATTGAAACCCACGTACATTAGCATAAGAAACTTAAGTGTGCCCGTGAAAGAAAAGAGCTACTGGATTTTCTAAACAGCATTTCAACTTTAAAAAATTTTAAAGATTATAATAATGATTCTAAATTTATTACCCACATGTCTACCTGTACAGTGTCTCATCTGAAGGTTATTATCACAAGTTTGGACAGATCATTATTCAAATATCTTAACTGGTAAATATGTGTAATTGTTACAACAAACACCTGCAGAAAAAAGTTATGCTCATGAAATCAGCCTCAAGTTCCTCTTAACTTTAAAAATATCTTATTTAGGGGTGCCTGGGTGGCTCAGTCAGTTAGTGTCTAACTCTTGATTTCCACTCAGGTCATGATCTACGGGTTTTGAGATTGAGCCCCTGCTTAAGATTCTCCCTCTGCAAGCCCCCCATTGTGCATGCTCTCTCTCTCTCTCTCTCTCTAAACAAAACAAAACGAAACTTATTTAAAGCTTTATTCAAATTCAGTAATTATCATCTTAAAATACTTCAAATACTTCATATTTTACTGTTATTTAAGAAAGCAAAACACATTTTTCACCAAGCTACATACAGGTATCTCCCAGCTTATTCCAGTTTATTCCAATATTCTCTAAGCATCATTTTTTTTAAAGATTTTATTTATTTATTTGACAGAGAGAGATAGCGAGAGAAGGAACACAAGCAGGGGGAGTGGGAGAGGGAGAAGCAGGCTTCCCACAGAGCAGGGAGCCTGATGCGGTGCTCGATCCCAGGACCCTGGGATCATGACCTTAGCTGAACGCAGACGCTTAAAGACTGAGCCACCCAGGCGCCCCTAAGCATCATATTTTATGAACACAAAAAAACATTGGAAAGCAGCGTCTCATATTCTGTTCATTAGTGTAGAGCCCCATTTGGGGTTACATAAGATCAATGTTCTGCCCCCTGACCTACCCATTATTAATTATTTTGTTTCCATGAGTAAATGAGTTCTGATTTGCAAACTACAGTTTACAAACCCACTATTATGCCAAGCTCTAGGTGGAGAAAACCTCAAGTAAACTGCAACCGGTTGCAACTCAACTTTAAAGGGCATCTTGTTGGCTGCCAACAGCTTCCAAAGAGCTGTTTTGTAATGTACATCATAATGGCTTCTTGAGTAACTCCCCTATGGTTGTGCACTGGCGCTGTCTCAGGTGGTTTCTCCTTGGCAAGCTGAAACCTCACTTTCCCAGCAAGCTCCTAAAAAAGCAGGATTGCTTTTTGCAAGTCTGTTGCAACAGTCCTGACCAAGAAAAAGGCAAGCAGTCTGCAAACTTTTTCATGCCTGTTCACTCGTTCTCCAATGTCCAGCCTCTTCCAGGACACCAGATCCAATCTTTGTTAGACTTTCAAAAATGCTTTTAAGTCAAACTTCCTCTTAATTCACGCCCCCCCCCCCCCCCCCCCGCCCCAGATGAAATCTGTTCTCCTATATGTCATGAACAGCCAGAGCACCCTGCTGGGGCAGCCATCTCACCAGCTCCCTAAAATGCAGCTGTATTTGGGAGCCCTCTCTGTAGGAAGTAAGGCTAATACTTAGTTCCCAGAAGATGAGGTGTGGTTTTAATGAGCTCATTCAACGGGGTGGAAGCGGGAGTGGTTCCATGTTTCTATTTTTAAAATACTTATAAAGATCATCCCTTGTTGCTCAAAGACAACAGAGGAAGGAGAGAAGTCTCTCACGTTACCATTAGAGATAACAAGGGCGACAACCTGGTTCCCAGAAAAAAAGCTACAGCCCTTTAGACTTCAGTTTTCTGCACACGTTGCCTCTCCCCAGTCAGAGCGGCAAAGGCAAAGTTGGTCCCTCCCTCCACGACCAGAAAAGCCCCGGCGCCCAGAAGGGCTTCTCCTCCGGCCGCTGGGGACCCCTTCACCGCCCGAGACCACCTGGACGGTTCCAGGGGTTGGCACGCATCCCGCGTTATTCATGTCACTGCATTCCGGGAACTAAAATAATGGGGGGGGGGGGTAGGGATTTAGTGCGGACATAGTCCGTCAGCCCTGGCTGTTTATTTGCTGGTTCGGCTCACTTTTACTGATGGGCTCAGCTACTTGTCAATCACTTTTTCAGCCTCATCCCTGCCTGACCGGAAGCACAAAGAAATGATAGGAGTTAAGGTCCTACGAAGGCCTTGCTTCTCACCTACGCTAGCCTAGGTCCGTCAGCAGTTTTCAATAGGACTCCTCTGGATCGGAACAGCAACTCACTTTCCACAGAAGAAACGTGGAAAGCTCTAGAGCGGGTCCGACGCCGTTTTGAAAGCGCGGGGGTAGAATGAGAGTGGGTACTGGAAAAGACCGGGCGTGGACTCAGAGTCGTGGGGCTTTTGAATGTGGGCTCTCTGCCTGGGACGCCCAACATCCTGGTCGGTAAGACCCAGAGAATATCCACCTTACATTCTCTCTCTTTCTCCGGGCCGTCTTGCAAAATGTCTGGTTTATGGTGGGTGCTTGATACTAGGGAAGTACTGAGAGGCGAGGGGGTAGTGAGTTGCGACTCAGGTATTGGGAATGCCCTGCAGAGTGGATTTCGTGGACAGAGGCGCTATTTGCCCTAGAACTCGCTTCCCGCTTCACTTGGAGGAAACAATTTCCACTCTGCAAGGAAGAGTACTATGAGCACACTTTGATCTTCCCAAGCTGTACAGAAAACCCCAGACTCGCAGCCGGGGTTAGGAGGGGGCGATCAGTACAGGTACATTTCGTAATGGGACGGCGCCGCCAAACAACCCGTTCCAAGAAAGGCTGCAGAGAACGAAACCAGGTTTTGCTGGCGGAGGACACCGGCCCCTCTCCAGGTGCTACACCACCAGGCTCTGGCCCACCTTGCGGCAACCTCTGCCAAATCTTTATACGGGGGGCCGTGCGTGCGGACCACGGATCCTGGCACTCACCGTGCGTGGCCGTGAACCGAAACCTGGCAGGGCGAACGGCGCTACCCGCCGTCGGGTGCACGGACCCGGTTCTGAGAGAAGGCCGGAAGCCCCTGCGCCTCGGTCCTCCGGAGCGTGCGGGTGGGCGCAGGAAAGGGCCAGGGCCGCGCGCCCTCCCCGCCGCGGCCCAGGTCACCGGAGTAGCGCGGAGGGCGCCAGCACATTAGGGACACGATCTTCTTTCCGGGACTAGGAAGGGGTGCAGAGGCGCGGTCGCGGGGCGCCTTACACCACCAGGCTGTCGGGTCCCCAGGTCCGAGGGAAAATCCCTAGGTGTCCCAGGCCCTGGACTGGAGCCGCGGCTGCCGTCCCGGGGCCCCTCGGGTGGCGTGGCGAGTAGCCACTCCAGCCCTCGGCCGGCGCCCCTCCCAGCGCCGCGCTCCGCTCCTCCCTCGTCCAGCCTTCCGCTCCGCCCGGGCGCCCCGAGGACAAACAGCGGGGGGGGGGGGGGGGGGACGGGACGACGGAATTTCCCAGAGAGGGGGCTCCGGCTTCCCCGCAACGCGGCAGCCTGTTTCTGTTTACGGAGTGAAAGGGGAAATGGAAAAGGCGGGGAGGCGGCGGCTGGCGTCCGCTGCGCCGCCCCTCGGCCGGCTCAGACGCCGTGAGTCAGGGGCGGACAAGGGCGGCCCGGGAGGACAGCCTGGGCTGGAGGTCCCGCGCTCACTGGTGCGCTCGGCTCGGGACGACGCGCCACGCTCCGGGATCGGTCGCCCTGGCTCCAGCTGCCGCTGCCGCCGGACCTCGCCGTCCGCGCGCGCTCGACTCCGGGGGGGTGGGCCACCGGAGGCGCACCGAGCCGTCCGGGGGCCGCGGCTGCAGCGCTCCGCCCGCCAGGTAACCCTCCGTTCGGCGACTTCTGGGTGTCTTTGTGGTGGCAGCCCTCCAGGGAGCCCCGACGGCCGAGCGCGGGTGCCCCAGGCCGAGGGGCGAGCTCCCGGGCTCCCGGAGGTGGGGGCGTACCCGCCGGTACGCGCTACTGCGCTTCCGCGGTTCTCTCCCGTCGCGGCTGCCGCGGGCACAGCTGGAAAGCACCTTGCGCAAGGGTCTCACGGGGTGCAGACTCCGACTCCTCCCCCTTCCTCCTCCTTCCCGGATCCCTAACGCGCGAGCAGTGCGGGTCTGGGCAGTGCGCGGGGACACAGAGACCCTCTGTCACCGCGCCTCCCGCCGAATACACCGCCCGGCCTGCTGCACTCTCCCCGCCGACGCCGGTGAGTGCGCCTCGGAGGCTGGGGACCCGGCTGCCGCCCGCCCAAATCGTGGGGGCTCTTTATAGTTTACAAGCCCTTGGTAGGCTTCCCCGGCTTTAAAGAATAGGAGGAGGGGAGTGGGGGCGGCGGTTGACGGAGCAGAGAACTTTTTGAATAGCTGAAACTTAATTTCATGCTTATGTAACCCGGATGCTATTCTGTGACTAAAGGGTCGTTATAGAAGAACGTGAGTGCTGGGCTTTCGGTCTAAGAAGAAATGTTGAGGGGAGGGTCGTAATGTGATATCAGGACTCCAAAATTCTTTTAGTTCTGGGCGGAGAACGACGATTAGAAAGAAGAACGGCGTGCACAGAGATTGCCCCAAAAGTTAATAAGGAAGGCCAGGAGCTGCCTTTAAGAGAAACGGCTATTTCACTTTTGGAAAGACATTTTGGCACGGAATAAAGAACTCCTACTAAAAACAGGGAAAGAAACACGACTACAGTTGCATTAGGTATCTGTGGCCTGTGTCTCATGTATTTGCCAAGTAGAATATAATCTGAATCCAGCAGACGCCCCCAACTCTCTGATGGATTGAGGTTTGTATGCAGTACTTGCGACGGCTGGCCCTTAAGGCCTTTTTCTTACAAGGAAAATTGGATAGTTGAGGTGTCTAGAGGTTCTGAAGCAGAGTGGCTGTGCTCCTATATAGCTAGAATGTGTAATTCTGGGGCTTTTGGAGAAAAAATATAATAAGAGATATGCCCTGAGGGGCAACGTACTATTTTGGCAGTAAAATCTTTTAAATGGGAAGTAACCAAAGGTATAATTATCCTTTGTTAGGCAGAGGTTTATATCTATAATCTTGGCCTTTTTTCGTTCACACTTGCTAGGAATTTCTCCACTTTTGTTTATGTAAATGGAAGTAGCCAAGAGTGTAACAATGAATAAGAATAGGATTTCCTCTTGGTGTTATTGCTGATTTCTGAAATAACTCGAAGCAAATCATTTTGACAATATCTGCCCATTTCTCCATTTCTAAGATGGTTGTAGTTGTCTACTCCATTGTCAAGTGGGGATTTTAGGAGGATTTTTATAGTAAACTACGTGGGGAAGAGTCTTTATTGGTAAAGTAGAATACCTTCACAATCCAGTTTTTCTAGATGGCTACTGATCTGTATAACTCGGAAATCACTAGCATGCTGTCTGCTTAATGAAGACCTGAAAGTGCTGAGGCTTTTTGCAGGGGCATTTAGCAGGCTGACTGGTCATCAGGGTTGCTGGGGTATACTGATTTGCGTGACAGGAGCCCTGCTGTTGCTAAGGAATTACCCCTGGCATCAGTGTCTTACACTGCCCTCCCTCCCCTCTCCCCTCTCCCCTCTCCCCTCTCCTCCACCCTTCCTCCCTTCCTCCGCCTCTCCCTCAGCACATAACTTAGGGGTGTGTGTGTTCAGACCTCTTAGGCTTCACACATAAATGCTCCAGACTTTCTGCAGAACTTGAAAATCAAAACCTGTCTTTACTCACTGGATCAGCTGACTGACTTGTAAACTGTGTGGACTTTTTTTCTTTCTTTCTTGAGTCATGTTACTCCTGGGAACTTTATTTTCTCTCCAGCCAGCCATTAGCTAAGTCCTGGAGCCTTGGAACTTTTCAGCCACTGGGGTCCTCCATCTGGCTGGTTTTGTTTTAACTTCCTTTTCTCAGTAAATTCTACAAGCAGAAACTGCAACTGAATGAAATGGCCCATTGAAATCAGAGTCGAATGTTCCTCCGTGAACCTAAGCAATTCCTTTCCTAACTCAAGACTCCAGGAGCCTGAATCAGTCTTCCTCAAAGACACAGGAGATCTGTGAGGGGAGCTTCCTTCGCTCTCTAGATGTGACCGTGGCTAACAGCTATCAAAGCATTTCAGAGGTTTTTGCTTTTTTGTCTTTGTCTCTTGTTCTAGATACAGCATTTAAAACCTTACTGTGAAGAAACCCAGGGAACAGGTAGCCGCATCCCATTTGCAGATAAGAAAGGAGGCCTAAGCAGTATCTGCAAAGCCGGGACTTCTCTGTGTTGTGCACATACCAGCAACTGCAGAAGGCAGAGCTCTTTGACTCTGCACCAAACACCTTACACACCTGAACTTCTTTAAACCTCACAACCGCCCTATGAGGTAGGTGCTGTTATGCCTCCATTTCACAGACAGGGGAAGTAGAGGTGCAGAGTGGGTAAGGTGCCTGCCTAGGAACGTGTAGGCTGTGAAGAAAGGGCTGGGAGTCCAGCCCAAGCAGCCTGAGTCCAGGTGGAATATCAGACTGCAGGGTGCGAGATAGCATGCTTTCTGCAGAGAATGCTTGCACATCAGAAAATGGTCATCAAGTAAGTGAATAGCGTCCCTGGATTGCCTTGGTCTTTTCTCAAATGAAATTGGCTCAGAGACCAAAAGTGGAGTGGTAGTCACGAGAGCTATAGGTGCTCCCCCCAACCCCCCAGGTGGAACATTTCCTGGAGCTTTGTACTTGAGCTCCTCAGATGGAGGCCTGTGGCTTTTAGCACTGAGTATTGAATGTGTTAAAGGTTTGTGCTTTCAGGAACCAGAAGCATCTTTCAGAGAGGCTTTCAGGAGCACAATAGTTTAAGTAGATGTTCATGCCTCTAAATTCTCTTAGATGTCTTAAATCCTTTGATCTTTAATCCTCTGGAATGGAATTGTTCTAAAATCCTGAGCAACAGCATCATTTTTTTTTTTTTAATCCTGGGTTTACCTTCTTTTTCTCATTTACAGATCCCAAGATGTAGCACCTGATTTTCATACAAGAACTAAAATACAGTATTGGCTAATGTAGTTAGCTTAGCTGGCCTTACCTGTGTCTTGCTTAGGATAGATTCGGCTGTCCTGGCCTCTTTGTAATACCACAGCTTCTAGAGGGTGATTGATCTAAATATTACATTAACTTTCTTGGGTCATTGAGATACATGCTTTGTACAATTAAAGAATTCTGGTCTCAAGAGGAGACAGCTGATTCACAGCTAAAAGAATGTTCCCCTTTCTCATAGGTCGCTGGCAGGAGGATTTGAGGCTTGTGGTCCCCAGTCTAAATGAGCTGTTTATTTGCATCGGAATTATTCCTGAAACTTGATCTATCATCATCAGTTTGCTTAGATTCTAATCCATTTTACAGGCTTTTGGCTCCACGGCCTGAATTTTATTTGCCAAGTTGGCTCCTGAATTTGATAAGATAGTTCTTTTTCTTTCTTTAAGAAAAAAAAAAAAAGGTTTTTTTTAAGATTTTGTTTATTTATTTCAGAGAAAGCATGAGTGGTGGGGAGGGGCAGAGGCAGAGGGAGAAGCAGACTCCCCACTGAACAGGGAGCCTGATGTGGGACTGGATCCCAGGACCCTGGGATCATGACCTGAGCTGAAGGCAGCTGCTTACCTGACTGAGCCACCCAGGTGCTCCAATAAGATAGTTCTTTTTCTTTAAAGTCACCAGGGCATGGAAGCCACAGAGGTCTGTATGGGGAGGGTTGCTCTCTTGGAGGAACAGTAGGGTTGGAAGCTGTCAAGGGCCAGGAGCCTCAGCTCCTCAGATTTCTGAGCCGCGCTTATTCGTGTTTATGTTTAGTGAAATTTTCAGTGGCTGTAACTCATGCCACCAGCTCAGTGAGTGAGTGAGTAAGGAGTAAGCTCTCTGGATCTCAAGTTTCCCTTCTGCAAAGTGAACGGCCGGACTTAAAGGTTATCTAAGGTCCCTTTCTTCACCATCTGTCAACTTGAATTTACATACACTGTTGACACAGAGCCCTCATTTTATAAACCGAGGCATATGGAAGCTGTTCCCAATCCTTTGATGTCATTTTCCCATTGATCTTAAAGGCAAATACAAATATGGTAACTGTTTGTCTTTTCTTTTGCAGACTCTCTAGAAAGCATAACAGTGATGGAGTACATGAGCACTGGAAGTGACAATAAAGAAGAGATCGATTTATTAATTAAACACTTGAATGTGTCCGATGTAATAGACATTATGGAAAATCTTTACACAAGTGAAGAGCCAGCAGTTTATGAACCCAGTCTCATGACCATGTGTCAAGATAGTAATCAAAATGAGGAGCGTTCAGAATCTCTGCTGCTCAGTGGCCAAGAGGTGCCTTGGCTGTCATCGGTCAGTTATGGAACTGTGGAGGATTTGCTTGCCTTTGCAAACCACATATCCAACACTGCAAAGCGTTTTTATGGACACCGACCTCAGGAATCTGGGATTTTATTAAATATGGTATGTTTTTTTCCTGATCAGTTGAGTGCTGTGTGTTCAGCTTTACTCTTGCAGCTTCGTGTAAGGCAGAGGGGCAGCTAAACTTGGTTTAGACTGGCTATCATGTACGACTTTTAAAAACATAGTATCTGTAAGAATCATCTCCATGTTAAAGATGCAAAAAAGGTCTTCATTCAAAGTTCCATTTAATCTTTTCCATGTGTCAGTGACAGTCGTACAAATAGGTCATTAAGAAGAATGTCTTTTAACTTAACAATTCATTAGAAAGCTCATTCATCAGGTAGGCAGAAGAAGACTTAATGAGAATTCTTCATCTGAGGGGAATCAATACTTTATCTTTAATTAATATTTTTGAAAACTGGATTTTTTTGCTCCTCTCTTGTCACATCTTGGAATGTCACAATATTAATACTGGTTAACTTCAGTTCTTGCAGAAATATAGTTTGCAGGCAGGCAATAAGTAGCAATGCACAGATTCACTCTCTTTAGTGAACTGGCAAAGTATGAATGACAAATGAGATATTTCCTTAGTCAGACCAAGTATGCAAATAATCCAAAATACTGTGACAACACGTTGTCACAATAGTTGATCAGATGATGTGTTTGGGTGTGCCTGGGATTCTGGCAGTCTTAGTGTGTCAGAGGTGAATGTAGGTGTTGGCTAGGGGTCATCTAATCTTTTAAAAAGGACATTTTACAAAGGAGTAGGTAGTAACTTGCAAAATGTGCATATTGACGGAAGTGACTCCTTTTCCTTTGGTGCTAGTTGTGTGTGGCAAAATGGCTAATGTAGGGGGAGGGCCAGTGTTGAATGACTGGAGTCTGGACAGAGTACTTAACTTTTTTTTTTTTAAGTAGTACATTCATTCAATTGAAAACAACACAGTAATTTAGGTCAGCTATGTAGTAAATTGTTTTGTTAGAAACCAGTTGTGTTTAGCTCCAGCTCAGTTTGGAGCAAGATTACTTTTTGCATAGTTGCATGACTTGCTTTGGTCTGGATATACCAAACTGTGTTTAATAGTTGACTAAGTACTTTACCTTGAGAATATTATTTCTTCTTATACATGGAAGTAATATCGAACTAGGAGCACTACCTAATTTTCTTAACATTAGGACTACCTAATTTTCTTAACATTGTCATAAACAAAATATTTTTGCTTATAAATATGTAGAAACTTGCATTCATTTCTCCTGGCCCATCAGACTGAAGAGAGGTAGGCCATAGAACTTTATTGGGAATGTACAGAAGAGAGTTCAGGAAAATTATAAGGAATACAAAGAAATAGCTTCCTAAAGGTTTTGGAGTGGGAAAAAAAAAAAAAAAGCCAATGCAGAAAAGGAGAGAAACAAAGACATTACAAGGAAGTGCAAATTTTATCAGCAAAGGCTAGGAGTAAAATGTTGTCAGTCCCCGCTGTGGAGTCTATGCTCAATAAGTGAACAAATGCGTATTCAGGAGAAAATTTAAGAATAAGACATATCATAAAAGCAGAGATCTTTAAAACTTTAAAAAGATTTTTAATTTAAAAATGATCAAGAATATAAAGCAAGAAGATTTAAAACCAGAGTGGAATAACAGGAGAACCTCAAAATCTGCAGGAATGCAGACCATGCCTCACTGGGAAAATCATCCCAGTGGTCAATGACTCTCGGGGCTGTAGTGGACTTTTCTGTCACTAAGTTAAGAATCGTATTCATCCTATGACTGCTAGTAACCAATGCCAGGTCCGTGCTTTATAAATAATGGCATAGGAATCATGACTTGCCATGCTTGATCTTTGGCAGTTTGAGACAAGATGATGAAGGAGGCACGGTTTGCTTTTGGCTCCCACTCATCCTTATATGGTGCTCTCCTTGGAACCATCCTGTGTTTGAGATCTTTGACTTCTTGAGGCCCTCCCCCTAAGACCCTATCAAAACTTTTCCATTCTGGGCTTCACTTGCTTTAATAAATGATCACTCATTATCTAACAGACAGACAGGCTGGTTCCAAGGTAAATTTCATCTATAAAGTGTATCTGCATATAGACCAAATGCCTTCATTCAAGTATTCATCCATTCACTTGCTAGACATAGGTCAGCTATCGACAATGTATCAAGTACTTTTCCAGGTGCTACAGATCCAGTATGGAAGAGTCTGGGTTCTCTGGTAGCTTACTGCCTGGTGAAGGCCCGAGGTAAGTAGAACAGGTGATTATAATGCCGTGTGCTTCTTCCCGATACAACTACACCCTGATTGCTGTGGGGATGCTCAGGCAGGACACCTCACGTGGCCACAAGGGAAGAGAGACTGCCAGAGATGCTTCTAAAAGGAACTGATGCCTAAACTGTTGAGTTGGAATCCGCCAGATAAAGGGGATGGAGAGTAGAGAGTGTTCCAGATGAGAATAGCATGTCCAAAGGCCCAGGGGCATAGAGACATGGTGTGTTCCTGGCAGCCAACAACCATAAAGCCCATGGAGTTAATTAGACAGGGTGGAGGATCAGGAATTACAAAAATATCCTGCAACAGAGGCACGTAAACTGTTGGTCTGCGCGTGTATGCAAATGTGTGCTCTTTTTCTAAAAATATTTGATAAAGATTCTACCGACATCCAGCAGGACCTGGGGAAGAAACTTTAGGAGACCAACCTAGGCGTTGCTTGGTATGAGAGTGCTATGAGTTATTTACACTCTAGACCAATTCATAACCTGAGTGGGGAATGAATAACTGAAAATGGGTTGCAAAGACTGAACTCATTGGTGATTAGATGGGGAGCCGAAGGGCCCCAAAGCGTTCGCTCATAGATACGGGTGTGAGATGTGGGAATGCTGTTCCTCAGGGGTTAGTCATGGAGTCCTGGCTTCTCAGGGTTGGAAAAACCTTAAAGATACTTGAGTCAAGCCCTCTGTCTGATGCTTACATCACTCTGGTCATCATATCCAGTAATTGTTGGAACATTTTGGTCTGTGCCTGAAAATCTCCTTTGACAAAGTTTATCACAGACTGGGGCATTTAATTTCATATTTAGCCAATTCTGATTGTAGGAAAGTCCTCCCTCGTAATGCATTAAAGTCCGTCTCTGACTCTCCTTAGCCCTAGTCCTACTTTTTGGCCATAAAAAAGGTATAGATGTCGAGTAGTGTGAGGATGAAGGCCCATGAATTACAGTGCCTGGGTATGTATTTCAGCTCTGAGATGGATTAGCTGTGTGACTTTGGGCTAGTAACCCCTCCACGGCTCAGTTTACTCATCTGTAAAATGGGTCACATCATAGCACTCACTCTGTGGGGCTGTTGTGTGGGACAAATAAGGAATGCACAGGACCTGTTTACACAGAGTGAGTGTTGAAAGAGTGCAAGCCCTTGTGGTAGTTGCTGTTGCAAATAATTGTTACTCTCTTTCTTTAGGACAGTCTTTCCAATACTTTAAAACTTGCATGTTCCCCACATCTTCTCGCTTTTGTCACAAACACTTCTCATTGTGTCTGCTACTTGTCACTTACTGGAGGGTTACTTTCATCCTCAACCTGGGCTGCACCCTCAGAACTCAAGCCCGGGTCAGTGCCTGCCTTACAGCCCTGAACTTGAACATGGCAGTCCATTGAGTAGGAAAGAGCCACCTTTGCCTTTGTTCTAGATAATATGCCTCTAGATAATAGCCCAAGGTTGTATTTGTGTCCTAGCAGCCATATCCTACAGGTTCTTTATGGAATTTATTCCTATTAAAGTACTTAAGAATTTTTCTCAAGGCCTGCTGCTGGGCCCAGCATTGTTTAGTGTCACTAGTCTGGAGAAGGAACTCAAAAGCATGCTTATAATGTCTGCACTTGATGGTGGCTTTGGTTAAGCTGAAGAATTGGCAGACATGAGCAGCATAGAGTTCCATAGGATTATTTGGTAGGGTCCCTAAAAAAAGGAGAAGGGGGGAAAAAAAAACCATTGCAAACCCAAAGAGGGAAGGTCTAGGGCCAGGAGAAGAACCGGGGACTTTGCAGAAGTGCTGACTAGTCTGTGCTCGCCTATCACACTGAATGTGTCAGGGCCTATCATCAAAGGAGAACCTGCCTTTGGAGGCATGTCCCCGGAACATGGGAGCTTGTAAAACAGGGATGAAGGAACGTGCAGTATTCTATCTAAAGAGGCGAAGGCTGAGGTGCTCAGTGACTCATAAATGTAGGCTTTTAGTAACTGGCTTTTGATCCTGGCTGAGCTTTAATTCCTGTCTTCTGGAAGATAGAAGGCACACAGGAGCTCTGGCTTTGGGGTCAGACAGACCTGAGTTCCAATCCTGACTTTGTCATGGCCTAATGAGTTACTTAACCTCTTGAAACCAGTTTCCTCATCTGTAAAGTGGAGATAAAAATAGTACTTACCTCCCAGGATGGCTGGGAGATCTAGATGAGAGCTGAGCACAGTGCCCTCCTTATAATTAGCACTCATTGCATGGCTGCAATGAGTCTTCTTCATCCCTTGGGTCAAACTGGGCTATCACAGATTGAGCTGGACAAGAGTAAAACTTGCACGAATGAAACCCTGAGTGGATAGCTGGAGCCGAAAGTGAAACAGGAAACGTAAATACTTAATAACAAGAACGAGGCAATGAGCAAGTACGGTTGAGTGCCGTGGGTATGGTTCTGTCTACATGTGGCAAGGGACTGCATTTATCATGTCCTTAGCATGTTGTAAAAAGAGGACTTCAGTAACTTGAGGTGACACACTTCTTGAAAGGAGGTCATATTTCAAACAAGGCAAGACCCTGGGCTGTGGTGCTTCTTCATTTTCCTGCTAGGGCTCCACTCGGGGGCTGGCTCAGGGGAGTGCTCAGGAAATACTTCATTTTAAATGTAGTGACTTCACATCTCGAAGGATTGGAGTCATCCTCTTCATTCCCTGACTAAGAGCACATGCATCCATTTGTGGGGTACAGCTAAGATGAGTGGTAATGGAGTCTGAATGAATAACCCTGGGATTATTACAACTATTCTCTTGGCAGTGGCCTGCTGAGGGGCCCGCGCATCTGCCGATGAATCAGGTGTTCATTCTTTTCCCATGTGGTCCGCATTCCCCTTCAGCCTCTTCTGCACTTGAAATAACTTAATGTCATTTGGATAGTTTCACACTTCCTGAATTCATAATCTGAAGTCGTGAAGTTGCTAATTACACAGAGGCAAACCTTGTATTTTTGAGACCCTGTTCCCCTCAAGAGAACATGGTAAACATATTGTAGGCATGTGCTCCAGGTCATAACTCAAAATAACATATCTTATTAATTTATTTTCATATTTATCATTATAATTCTTCCTCCTTTTATTTATTTATTTATTTATTTATTTTTACTCTTAAAATTGAGATATACTTTATATGCAGTGAAATACACAGACCTTAAATGTCTGGTTTGTTGAGATTTGACGAAAGCATCCACACTGCTCCCAGGATATATGTCTTTTAATTTTTGAGTCAACTGGTTTTGAAAACACTTGTTCCCAGTGTTGGCCTGTTCAGGAGCTCTCGGAGGTTAAGGGTCATCTCTCTCGTTCACAGCTGCCCTCCTCGGCACCAAACACAGTGCCTGGTGCTTTTTATGCACTCAGTAAATACTAAGTGAGCAAGTAGATGAGAAGTAATTCTGTCCCTTGTTGATTTATGCAGCACTGTCAACTCATAGCTCTGGCATAACACCTTATTTTCCAGAATCCTCTACCATCATCAGTTTATTTCCATGCTCTCTCTCCGTATGCGTCATGTGTGAGTAATAGCTATGCGGACTAACAGGTTAGCACATTATAATTGGAAACGAGTCAACTTGCAGGCACAGTTTATATTTATGCAATCTTTATTTTCAGCCTTTTGGTCACAATAGTCGTGTTCCCTTAGATAAATAATTTTTAAAATGTTGACAATTAATTACTCACCAGGAGGTGGAATACGATCAGGTCTGACCAGGGACATGTTTCTGTTACATGCTTTCTCTGGCTTGCTGAAGCTCTAAGTATAGTCTCCCTACACTGTTAGGATTACGTAACAGTGACATTAATTTCAAACACTGCGTAGGAATGCAGTTTAAAGTAACCAGTTTCTAAAGGTGTGTCTTTTTGATCTAAAGTAGCCAGTTTCTAAAGGGTGTGTCTTAGAAAAGGAGTCTGCTGGAATTCTCACCCTCCTGCCTGTTTGTTTTGTTGTAGGTAATCACTCCCCAGAATGGACGCTATCAAATAGACTCTGATGTTCTCCTCATCCCTTGGAAGCTGACTTATAGGAATATTGGCTCTGATTTCATACCTCGGGGGGCCTTTGGAAAAGTGTACTTAGCACAAGATATAAAGACTAAGAAAAGAATGGCGTGTAAATTGGTATGTACTTTATAACCAGATATCCTGTGCCGTATGTATGTTTAGCATTGTGGCTCTTGTTTGCTTGCATTACTCAAAGGTTGTTGCCATTTGATTGGATCTTATGTAAGGGTGCCCTGTCCGAAAACATCCTTCTTCTTCTTCTTTTTTTTTTTTTTGGACTTGCTTGCTCCCTGGGGTTCAGTCCCTAAGTCTGTTTAAGTGCATAGTTTGTTTTAATCTAGTTTGCATTGATAAAAAAGAAAACACTGCTGGCTTCTATAGCAGGACCTTGGATAACGTCATCCCTCTGCGGTAGGGTGGAGTGGAGGGGAGCTCTCCTGCAGGAGCAAATCTGTGTGCTGCTCCTTTAATCCCACCCACAGGGAAGGGAACCAGGCAGGGAAGCCAAGCTGGGAAAGCCACAAGGCTTCTCAAGACTGTAGATTAAAGGATTGAATATAAATAGACCAATTATTGCAAAGACCCTGTCTCTTCTTAAGTAGCCATTGCTGAGGCATCCCTGCTTTGGAAGACTGCCGAAGCTGGACACGTACACACCCTGTGACCCAGCAATTCTACTCCTATAGGCACACACCCAAGAGGCATGTGCACTTGCTCACCAAAAGCTATGCACTAGACTGTTCATCATAGCACTCTTTGTAATAGTCCCAAACTGGAAATTCTCCAGATGTCACAGTGTGGTATATTTACACAGTGGGATACTGTACAGTGAAGAGAGCAAATGGTTTACAACTGTAATAATGTGGATGAATCTCATCACCATATGTTAAGCCCAAACAGCCAGATACCAAGTAAGAGCTACTCTATGATATTCCACTTCTATACAGGCCAAAAATAGGCTAAACAAATCCGTGCTGTTGGAAGTCAGGATAGTGGGTGCCCTTGAGGGGCAGTGACTGGCAGAGGTCAGGAAAGGGTTTCTGGGGGGCTGGTAGAGTTCTGTTTCTTGATCTACATGGTGGTGACATGGGTGTGTTCAGTTGAAAATTCCTTGAGTTTGATACATAACCAGTTTTATGCATTTTGGTATGTCTGTTTCACTTTAAAAGTTTTTAAGAGTGCTCAAAAACTAATGATGTACTGTATGGTGATGAAGATAACATAATAAAATAAAAAAGTGATCCATATCCATAAAAAAAAATAAAGTTTTTAAGAGTTCAATAAAATAAACTCCTTTTTGATTTGCCGAATCTGGCCATAGTCTATCTTATTGTAATTAAAAAAAAAAAAAGACCAACAGTATATTGGCCTCATTTGTTCCTTCATAAAGATTTGCTAGAGTATCTGTTATCAAAAGAAAAGGAGATATTATAATAAGCCATTTGAGGCTTGCATTTAGAAGAGACACGTTCCAATTCTTTTAAGAGACTCTAGTGACATTTTAGAAAGGTCTTAGAACCAAAATGTCCTATTTTACAGTTTCATCACAAAAGGCATGAAAAAATAGCTTTGCAGGTTTGTTTTCCCTAGAGTACTTACATTTAATTTTTAAGCTGTATTTTTTTCTTAAAAGGAAAACCACGTAAGATGATTAACAACACTTAGAAGATTCAAAAGAATGTAGGTTGAAGAATGAGATCTCTTTCCTTGAGGCAACTACTGTGAATGAGTTCTTATACATCTTTCCAGAAAATTTCTATGGACATGTGTCATGTATAGCTTAAGAGATTTTTACAAATGGGAGCATAATACATGTACTTGCGCATCTTGCTTTCTTCATCCGACACTGTATTTTGGAGACATTACGTATCTATCTGCACTGAAAGATCTACTTTTTTCTTTATTAATGACTTTTGATTTTCCTTAGAATAGATTTTAAATGCATTGCCAGAGCATGAACTGTGGGTCCAAAGACATTATATTATTTCATAACAAGTGGAAATATTGAAAAGACAACCTAAAATCTAGGTGCCATAGAAAGTACATGCAAGATAGATGGGAAATTATCTCTCTTTTGATTCAATTGTAAATAATTCTTTGGTTGGATTGCTACATTCTAAATGAAAATAATATTTTACATTTTGTTCTTATTTTCTTATTTTGAACTGTTTACCTAAAGCTGACGTCATGTAAAAGCAGGTTTGAACATTATTTTAACTTGGCAGTATAACTTCATGCAGATCATGATCTCCTTGAAGGCATTTATCTGCCCTCTGGATTGTGAGTTGACCTATCTTGTATATATTTTTGTCTAGAATCTTACTGGTATTTTTGTGTTCTAGATCCCAGTAGATCAATTTAAGCCATCTGATGTGGAAATCCAGGCCTGCTTCCGGCACGAGAACATCGCTGAGTTATATGGTGCGGTGCTCTGGGGTGAAACTGTGCACCTCTTTATGGAAGCAGGCGAGGGAGGGTCTGTTCTTGAGAAACTGGAGAGCTGTGGACCAATGAGAGAATTTGAAATTATTTGGGTGACAAAGCATGTTCTCAAAGGACTCGATTTTCTACACTCAAAGAAAGTAATTCATCATGATATTAAACGTGAGTTACATTTGGATGTGTAACCTCTTTGGCTGAGAGATGAGTTGGACAGGAGGCAGATGGGCTCCTCTCTTCAGTCTAAAGATCCTCGGTGGTGGGGAGGAGAGTTGCCCTCGAGGGCTTTTCACCTTCCTCCCCTGTGCTCCTGCAACATGTTTTAGCACCAAATGGGATCACTAAAGCTTTCAAAGTCATGAGGAAGGATGATTATCCAATTGTGGAAGATTATGGCCACACGTCTATTAAGTACTGGCTATGCCCTTGTTCATAAGGCTTTAAAAAATAGTAATGTACTTTAAACACACACAGAGTTACATAGTTCTTGAGAAACAAATAGCTTTTTAATTCTGAACACCATTTTGGTAATAATTCATTAAACAAGCCTTCACTGACTGCTTTCTAGGAGTAAGAGATGGTGGGAAATGCACAACAAAGACCCACTATCAACCCTTAATATTTAATGCTACATTGAACTAACAAAACCTTTACTTTAAAAAAAATGGGTATTTTATTTTTTCATTTTAGGAAAGTGGCATGATAATAATATGCTTATATCTTAGGATTTGAAAGTCCAGCTCTCGAGCATTATTTTATTTTTCCAGCTTTATTGAAATATAACTGGCATAACATTGTGTAAGCCTAAGGTATATGATGGAATGATTTGCTATATGTATATATTGCAAAAAGATTACCCCATTAGGCTTAGTTAACACATCCATCACCTCACATAGTTAAAACCGTGTGTGTGTGGTGAGAACTTTTAAAATCTACTCTCTCAGCTACTTTCAAATATATAATACAGCATTATTAACTATAGTCACCATGCTGTGTATTACATCCCCCAAAACTTGTTCATCTTATCACTGGCAGTTTGTACGCTTTGACTGCCTTCACCCATTTCCCCCACCCCCGTACCCCTGGCAACTGCGATCTGTTCTCTCTTTCTATGAGTTCATTTGTTTTAGATTGCACGGACTAGTGAGATTCGTACAGTATTCATCTTTGTCTGACTTATCTCAGTGATTTCACTTAGATCTTCAAGGTTTCATCCATGTTGTTGCAAAAGGCAGAATTCTATCCTTTTTTGTGGCTGAATAATATTCTATTATATATGCATATACACACACGTCATATTTTCTTTATCCACTCATCCATCGTGGACCCTTAGGTTGCTTCCATGACTTGGCCATTGTATCTTGAGCGTTGTTAGTGTGTTCAACCATTTACTCCCACATTGGCTGCACTCTTGGCACATATGAAATGATTTTCACTTGAATTCTCACCTGGATTTATCCTCCTCTTTTGAATATAATATAGTCATCTCAGTAGGGAGCACATTTCAGTCTATTCTGATTTGGGACTCATCGTTTCAGATGATGTTTTTATTTTATTTATGGGTATACAGACAATTTTATACTAAAAAATGTCCTCTTTTTTTAGCTAGCAACATTGTCTTCATGTCTACAAAAGCTGTTTTGGTGGATTTTGGCCTAAGTGTTCAAATGACTGAAGATATCTATTTTCCTAAGGACCTTCGTGGAACAGAGGTAATTCTATTCCCACAGGAAAAGTCAATACCTTTTTAAGAGTAAAATTTAAAAATGTTCTGGTGTTATTGCAGAAAGGACAAAAAAGGGGAGGAAAAACATTGCATCAAATGTTATTATCATTGAAACATATTTAATGAGCAGTTGCTCTGTGCCAAGTACTAATTTTAGCATTTTATTTATTTATTTATTTATTTATTTATTTTAAAGATTTTATTTATTTATTTGACAGAGAGAGGCAGCAAGAGAGGGAACACAAGCAGGGGGAGTGGGAGAGGGAGAAGCAGGCTTCCTGCTGAGCAGGGAGCCTGATGCGGGGCTCGATCTCAGGACCCTGGGATCATGACCTGAGCTGAAGGCAGACGCTTAACGACTGAGCCACCCAGGTGCCCCTAATTTTAGCATTTTAAATTAATTATATTATTTAATCCTTGTTACAATGCTATTATTAGTAAATACTGTTATTGTAGGCAAATACTATTATTTACAATAAGGGAATAAGCTTGAAGAAGTTAAAATAAATTGCCCAAAGTTACTCAGCTAGTGACAGATCTGGGACTTAAACCAATTTTTTTTGGAGTCTAAATTCTAACTACTATGTAACTTTTTAATATAACTAATGTATATATTCTTAGTATAACATATATATATATATATATATATATTCTTGGTATAACTAAGTATTATTGTTTCGGTTCAATTATAGTCATAATTGTCATAGTCATTAATAATATATATTGAGGAACAACAATATTTTAGGCTTATCTTTAATTCTAGAGAGCCTATAATAAACATCAATATAGCACAAATAAATTGTATTTAGAGATATAAACTAGCTCTAATACTTATTTCATTTGTGAAGCAAAAGCAAAACTAAACCACAAACTTTTCTGAATGTAAGTGAGGTTGTGAGGAATGCATTCATGGGTTTTCAAATAATATATTTAATTTAACATATACATGATTGGGCTGAAGAGTGGATTCATGTGGAAGCATCTATTGAGCATCGTTATGCGTCAGGCTGTTGTAGGTATCAGGAGCACTGGCCAGGGGTCAACAAGGACTGTGGACTTGGTGGTACTGCAGCAACCCCCACTCTTCGCTGAGAGGACCTATTTTAAATTTACCTGAATTATTAAAAGAGCAACAGTTTAGTTCATAGTAGATTATGATGGGCGTGGGGTTGGATGAAACTGGGAAGGTAAATGGGAGTGGAAGCTGCCTCCCTGGCCCATGCTTAACTATCAGACCCTCCCAGCCCCATGCCCTCTCTCTGCTCTAAGTGCCCGCAGCAAATGGAGAGAGGGCACTTGGCTGCGCATTTGCCTTAAGATTACTAGGTCAGGGGTCGGCTCGGCTCATGACCTCAGGGTCCTGGGATCGGGTCCCAAGTTGGGCTCTGCGCTCAGTGAGGAGTCTGCTTGTCCCCCTCTGCCCCTCTGCCCTCTCAATTAAATAAATAAAATCTTCTAAAAAAAAAAAAAAAAAAGATTACCAGGTCAGTCTTAGTGTTCAACCAAATGACAGCCCTTAGTCTAGCTCGTAGATATATTGCACTGAACCCAATTGCAGTGCAAAAACAAGCAAACAAATAATCATCGTCTGAAACCAAGATTGTATTAGTTTTTCCTTAATTCTCTCAAAGCAACAACTCTCCTGGGAAGCAGAAGAAATTGCTGGTATTACTGAAGTTATTCTGTAAAAAAACTTGAGGAAGGATCCTTGATAGTTGTCTTTGAGCAGAATGATATTTAGAAGAGAAAACTGTAGACTTCTTTAAAAGAATGTTTTAGTCCCCAGATCTTAAGAATACTTCACCGAAGCACAAAATCTAATAAGACTTAATGCTTATGACATGTTTTTTTTGGAGAATGTTTCAGCATATTTTGGCATTAGTCAGAAGTTCAGATATGTGACATTCTACCCTTTTTCCTGGAGCCAGTTTGAGAAACAAACTATTTATGGTATTAAAGATAGAAAATACCTTTCTCTTCCCGGCAGTGTGATCAGATTGAACATTTTGCAATGGCTGGACAAAGAAATGTCTTCCCTGGGATTCTCTAACAGAAAGAGAGTGTGTGCTTGAACATGAGATAATAACATAGTGTTTACTCTAAATAGTATTTTGGATTGAGTTATTTTCAGCAAATGTAAATTGCTTTTTACAAAGCACTAAACTGACTTTGATGTTGAGAGTTATAAACTTCCTTCAAATCAGCCTGCATTTACTATCTGTATGGTGCTCACCAGTCAAAGTTTGATAATGGTGTGAAATCACCATTGAAAGCTTTCAGCGAGCTTATTTTAACTCTTCCTAGTTAAAGAGCCAATAACATGTTGTTAGTCAAAATCAACCATGTAGACTTACTTTCCTTTGGAACTTGATCACTTGACTGCTGAATAGCTGTAGATGATTGCTGATCCCTGCAGTGTAGCTGGTCTGTGTTTGATCTCTCCCAGCATTCATATTCAGAACATTATACTGTAACCATAAAATATAAGCACAGGGTTAATCTGGCATATATTTAACTTACTGTTTTTTAATTACATCGTACAGAGAAAAATAATGAATGTAAATAGCTAATTAGAATTACCTTTTTTTTTTAAGAGAGGGAGGGAGTGGGGATAGAGGGGGAGATGGAGAGGGAGAGAGAGAGAATCTTAAGTAGGCTCCATACCCAGCACAGAGCTTAACGTGGGGCTTGATCTCACGACCCTGAGATCATGACCTGAGCTGAAATCAAGAGTCGGTTGCTTAATCAACTGAGCCACCTAGAATTACTTTTATAGCGTGATTCTTTTTTAAAAGTTCTTATTTTCTTCTGAGTCTGTATTTGGGCTTACTTGATGTAAGTTAACGTGTCATCATCACCTCACGCGTGCGCTCGCGCACACACACACGTGACACATTTCTAATAAATGTGTTGAGAGGTGAAGGCCTCGACCCCCGGACATATAGGTTCCCTTGCTCCAGTGCCCATGCCTGAGGCTGTGCAGGTCTCAGAGAGCCTTCATGGTTCCCACCGGGTCTGTTTCATGCTTGCAGTCAGCCAGCCTGAAGAGTTCTCGAACACCATGCCCCGTTGCTCTGGCTCAGGTATGGGCTGCGGAAGCAGGAGCTCTGAGCCATGGAACACTGGGGGATCTGCCTGGGGGGGGGAGCAGCTACGTCACCAGGTGGAGAGAATGCTGCATCCCCAAATGTGACATCCCCGGGGGCCTCCAGAGCCCTGTATACAGAGCCGCTGTGGGTTACCCCAACAGTAAATACTTTGCCTGATCTTTGCTTAGGAGGGCAAACAAGGGGAGAGGAGATAGACATCCTCTATGGACAGATAATCCTTCCCACTGCATGTGTTTAACTTTGTAATTATATTTAGTAAGAAAGTCTGTGGGGATCCAAATGCTCTGCCTTCACTTCAGGAAATGTTTGAGAACAAGGAGCTCAGTTTAGCCTGTTCGTTGAGACAGACAGACAGAATGAGCAAGGGAACAAAAGCAAGCCAGCCAGGAAGTGTGTTGTAGGATAGTGTTGAATATGGTTGGGATGGGGAAACTGGGAAATTTTCCCAGTTTTTGTAAGCCAGTTTTTTTTTTTTTTTTTAACTTACTGTCTCTGAAATATATTCCAGGAACACTTACCCCTTTCTCCATATTCAGATGATGGGCAGCATAAACATTTCTTTTTTTTTTTTTTTTTTAATTTTATTTATTTATTTGAGAGAGAGAGAATGAGAGAGAGCACATGAGAGGGGGGAGGGTCAGAGGGAGAAGCAGACTCCCTGCCGAGCAGGGAGCCTGATGCGGGACTCGATCCAGGGACTCCAGGATCATGACCTGAGCCGAAGGCAGTCGCTTAACCAACTGAGCCACCCAGGTGCCCAGCATAAACATTTCTTAATGTTAAATATTGATAATTAAGATTTTAACTACGGTATCTGTATCAGCCATAAATACAGATCATTGGTCACCAGCATTTGCTTGCTTTTTCTTTCTTTTTTAAATTTATAAGCAGAGACTTCTTAGAAGAACTGTTTCTGAAACTAGCCCTGCTTTTCCAGCCTGAAACCAATTTTAAAATGGCATGCATTTAATACTTAGTCACAGGGCTACGTGGTGGTAGAAATAAGAAGTAGTTTGTATAAATGACCAATTAGGACCACTTTTACAACATTACACTCAAAGTGCTTCTCTTCCATGTGATTGGTGTTAATACCCAATGGATCTCTGCCACCTTTTATCACGGCAGATAAGTAGAGGTTTGGCAATTTAATGACAAACGTGAAGACATGTATTTGTAGTATCCATTTAAATATTGAAAGGAATTTTTTTTTTTAAGATTTTATTTATTTATTTTTGTGCTCGTGCGTGAGAGAGCATGCGTGTGTGGGCGCATGAGTGGGGGGGAGGGGCAGAGGGAGAAGCACGCTCCCCAGTGAGCAGGGAGCCCGATACAGAACTTGATCTCAGAACCCTGGGATCATGACCTGAGCTGAAGGCAGACACTTAACTGACTGAGCCACCCAGGCCCCCAGAACTGGTGTTTTAATAGAGAAGTTAAGCCTCGGTCAGTGCCTTCCAGAACCTTGATGAGTGGGTGTCCCAGATGGGTTCTTGGCTGCAGGCCCATGGCTGCCAGGTCTACCTGTGTGTTCAGTATGTGGAAAAAGAGTGTTCTTCATTAGGCTGCAGGGACACCTCAGGCCAAAGCTGCCTGACCCCCCTCCACCCCCAAGGGTGTCCCTCTCCCTAGCTTCAGGGAGCACAGCCGTGACATGCTCTTCTGGAGGGCTGAAACGTGCAGTAAATATGGTAAAGGTGGATGAGCCAGCTTCCAGAAATGGATGAGGGAAATGGACACCCCAGGAAATGGGGGAGAGTCAGACTGATGTTTTCTCCTTCTGTTTTAGATTTACATGAGCCCAGAGGTGATCCTATGCAGAGGCCATTCAACCAAAGCAGATATCTACAGCCTGGGAGCCACACTCATCCATATGCAGACGGGCACCCCGCCTTGGGTGAAGCGCTACCCTCGCTCAGCCTATCCCTCCTACCTGTACATAGTAAGTGGGGGTCAGCCAGGGCTGAGGGTGCAGGGGAGGTCCACCTGCTCAGGAGAGCTGCTGTCCCTCTTGTAACACACCCGAGTGGGATGATGTGAACTAGTAACTCAGGAGGCGAAGCTGAAAGTTCTTCCTACATGGAGGAAAGTCCCATTCCCGCAAAGAAGGCATTGCTATTGCAGTGGGAATTGGCTGAAATGTGCGTGGGGCATAAATTATATGCTGTTCTGTTATTCATGACTCATAAAATGCCACTTAGGAGAGTCTGAGTAGCGTAGATCTCTGAGCCAAAGAAACTGTGTATATGTGCTTTGAACACTCGTAGAAGAGAGATGAGATTATAGATCCCCAAGCCAGCATGCCACTTCCATTTTACCACTGAGAGATCACAGAGCGGATCCTTCCCCTTTACAGCACAGTGACCCTTGAACTTCATGCACCCAAAGGATGGGTTTAACTCGGGGTGATTACAGAATTAAAGGGAAACTCGTGTAAGGGCATGACTGTATTCGCTGCAGGGCATGTAGTGGGAAACAAATAACTTTCCAGGTCTTGTTCACTAGAACACTTGAACTGTTGAGGGTGTCTTTTCATACCGTTGGTGCTAAGAGAGCTGGTGTGTTGCTAGATCCACAAGCAGGCGCCTCCGTTGGAAGATATTTCGGATGATTGCAGCCCTGGCATGAGATTGCTGATAGAAGCCGCCTTGGAGAGGAACCCCAATCACCGCCCGAGGGCAGCAGACCTACTCAAACACGACGCCCTGAACCCCCCCAGAGAGGATCAGCCACGCTGTCAGAGTCTGGACTCTGCCCTCTTTGAGCGGAAGAGGCTGCTGAGTAGGAAGGAGTTGGAGCTTCCTGAGAACATTGCGGGTATGGACACCTGCTGTGTGCCGTGCCCCTTGCTTCCCTTCTTTCTCTGTCTACCTCAGACTGCCGACGTTGTTCACGAAAGCAGTGGAAAGAAAATGCAGTGACTTCTTGAGTGCCATAAGTTGTCTAAGAAGTCTCAGCAAGAATGTTATTTAGCAAAAGCATTAAAAAAAAATTGGCTAAATGACCAGCAAATCCTAACATGTTTCAGCACAAATGTAGGTAACAACAGTCCTTGAGAATCGCCTCTGACTTGCTTTTTTGCACTAGGGAGTATCATTTGCCTTTAAAAACAAATCAAGCCTGGCAGTCTTGCTTGTTGGTTCTGAACAGGGTTCTATTTCATGCAATTACGGTAAGCCACGCCAGTCCTTGGTTGGAGACATCAGGGCACTGCTCCTGTATAGATAAAATATTGAGTTTGAAGTCAACTTGCATTTTTGTCTTCCTCTGCTTAAAATCTCCTTGCCAGCTATGAATCTTTCCCACTTAGCAAAGTCAGTACACATTCCAGGAACATTAAATATGCACGGAGAGGGTTTCTATTTTTATTACTGAAATCTGTGGCATTCTTAATCCATTTAGGTCCAAACCCAGATGTCAAGCCTGGAATGTTTATTTGCATTTCATCCTCTTCTTGTCTGACTTTTCTGTATTTAAAGAGAGCCATCTGGGGTGTTGGAAAACATGCCAGAATTTCTAGCTAATTTCTTGTCCTCATTGACTCTTTTTCGAAACCTTTCGTCTATGTCATATTACATAAACTAGCCCACAGTCTGTAACTCTAAGTCTGTAGGTTTTTAATTAAACGATAGCTTGAATGCTGTTTGATTAGGGCCAAGTGTTCGTTGTTGTTTTTTTTTTCCCCAGAAAAAAACAAGTATTTATTGTTGAGCATGTCACCTGGTCATTAATTTTAGTTTTTTCAATGTTTCCCTTTCCAGATTCATCATGCACAGGAAGCACTGAGGAATCTGAGATGCTAAAGAGGCAGCGTTCTCTCTACATAGACCTTGGGGCCCTGGCTGGCTATTTCAACCTTGTACGGGGTCCACCAACACTAGAATATGGCTGATCGGTGGCATCATTTGCTCTAAATAATTAAGACTCATCACTGGGCTCCTGGAAGCTGGTTCTGCTGACTCCACACCGGGGCTCTGTATAGGGAATCGGCCTCTGTATAGGGAAGCGGATATGGGCTCCCTGTGACTCATGAATGTGACTCCACGTGGCTCCCATGGGTTTGATTCGTGAAGCTGCCTTGGTAGCCCCCAGTCTAAAGGTTCTCATGTCTCAGGTGGTGTAACTCAAAGGAAATTGAGAGTTCGTAGAAGGATCATTTCTGGTGACTGATTCCATTCACTGTGCACTTTGCTCAAAATGTTAAAAATACCGAGGATATCACGAGGATAATGTCTTAGCCTGAAATTACTATTCTTGGTTCTAATTTAAGGATGAGAACTTCATTTAACTCAGAATAATTGTTTTGTATATATTGGTGTATATTATATGATAACTCCTTGAGCCTTTGTAGGTAGGTTCTAGTATAAATTAAAGTCATTGTATTTTGGGTGAATAGAACAACTTGAATATTATAGCAATAAGCTGGACTAGTGTCTTAAAAATGGCTGATTATTTAGGAGCCATCTGACAGCAGACCACTAATGACAGGTTCTGTTATGTTCCTATGGAAACATTTTGTACTGTATATGCTATGCTTAAAACATTTAAAACATGATGTTTTGAATGTGGATAAAACTGTGTAAACCACATAATTTCTGTACATCCCAAAGGATGAGAATGTGACCTTTAAGAAAAATGGAAACATTTCTAAATTCTTAATGATGCTACTTTTGTAACTCTTCTGACTCTACTTTCTTCTAAGCATTTGTGTATTAAAATAGCATACTGTGTATGTTTTATATCAAATGCGTCCATGAATCTTTCTTACCTATACATATATTTTTACCATTGTTAATATGTGAGTATTCCCACTTAAAGTATGTTTTTACATCATGCAAATGAAACCAACACTTTTATCCAGTATAATTGATCAAATCAACCAAATAAACTCAGTATTTTACCTTAATTCTTGGAAAGAGTGTGATTCTCAACTGGGACTGGGGGTGGGTTATGGGGTTTGGGATATAGGTTGGAGGAGAACGTGTATCCTGAGGAAGCAAAGAACACCTGAGAGGTTTGCAAATTATTTATAAGCCCCTCTTCTATTGTTGCAGCCTTAAGCCATTGTTGTCTGGATTACGCCATGTCCCTCCCGTGCATGGGGCAGAAAAAGAATCGTCAGTCACTGGTTCAGGCTAAGTGTGGTTCTGTTTTGCATCTTGTTTTTATACATTTATACTACCTTTGAATACATGCTTGTCGGTGCTGTGTCTGTTGTTTGTCAAGTTAATAACTAATTTGTCTTGGGGGCGCCTGGGTGGTTCAGTTGGTTAAGCGTCAGGACAGTGGTTTATAGCTCAGGTCCTGATCTCATGGGTTGTGAAATGGAGCCCCGCATCGGGCTCCACACTCAGCGTGGAGCCTCGTTAAGATTCTCTCTCTCCCTCTCCCTCTGACCGCCACCCTGGCTGTTTGTGCACTCTCTCTCTCAAAAAACAAAATGAAATGAAATAAATAAAATAACTAACTTGCCTTGTATAAGGTAAATTTTAATCCTGAACACAAATTCTGATGAAAATTGTTGGATGGGAGTTGGATTCACTCATTCTCTGAGCAAACCGTATGACGCACTTCTATGTGTGTTACCTAAAGCCATCCTTGGAATCCTCACAACACATGCATGAAAGATGGACCATTGCCTCCGGGTTTTTTTCAGAGGGGGAAGTGAAGCACAGTGAGGTAGGTCACTTTATGCTTCAGATCACAGAGCAGGTAAAGAGACAGAGCTGGTCGTGGAAGCCAGGCCTTTCTACTTCTAGTTCGCCTTTTCTTCCTCTTTGTGCTCCTGGCAGGTGATAGACCATCGTAGGTGATGGATTGTCTTGCTGCAGAAAGCCCTGTGCTCTCGCTGGGATTCAGATCTCCAAATAAGGGCAGAGGTGGCTTCACCACCAACCTAATGAAGCTTCAGCCTCAGGGCCCCTCGCTTGCCTGGGCGCCCCCATGGCCCTGTGCCTGCTTCTATATTATCCTACATCAGGTCCAACAAAACCTGGACCTGTCCCTGGGCCAAGGTGTACAACCTTTGATGATTTTCATGAAAAACCGAAACAGTCAATATGAATTGTCTAGTTAACAAATTCCACTGGGAGAAAAAGCATGCCTTTTAAATAAACTGGAGCTCTCATGGAAAGATCTGGGAATGTTTGCCAAAAGATCATCAGGGGCGGTGGGGGCCGAGAAAGCGGTCTTGAGGGCTAGCAGGGCACGTTCAGGGCTGGCATCTGTGCACGGGGCACCTGCGGAGCTGTTGACCTAAGAAGCCAAGAGCTGCAGCCTGGGGTGGGCCAGCAGACAGAGTCAGATTAAGAGAAGAAGGCCCTGAGTTGGCCCTGAGGGAATCCATCATTTGCTTCCTGAGAAGGCAAGCAGGGGGGCTGTCAGGCTTGAGTGTAGCTGGGACAGAATGATCACACCCTGAAACCTACTTCTTGCCCCCTTGATAAATCATGCCTCAGGCAACAAGGCTTCCGATTATGTGCGGACATTGAAACGCTTCATGGAAGACAGACTGGACCTTTCCCGCTTGGGTCTGGAGATCATCGTGTCTAAGCCCCTTGTTGGATAGGGTGGTCTATAGATAAACTTGCTGGTCCTCACGTGGCACATGCTGGAGCCATGCCTTCTGATTATCACTCCCCACCTTGTGCTTGCCTGGGGGTCTGCACAATAACCTGAAACAGGTCAGGAAGACTGCCTCCCAGGAATTTGCTGGCCCTAGTGGCGAGTTGCCCAGCCTTGGACAGACAGCTCTCATCGGGGGTCAGCCAGCGCATCCACACCTCTGGAGTGAAGTTTCCACCAGGTGTCTGCCACTGTGCCAAGCGCCGCAGTCGGACTTGAAGTCCGCGGCACGGATTCCCGTCAGCCCCTGTGTTCCTCCCTAGTGCATGCCCGTTATCAGACCGACCGAGCCAATCCATCTTTTCTTGATAGCAGATGTCGGTCTCGTACCTCAATACGAAAGCCAGTGGTTGTGTACAGACTTGCTGTGATTTCAAATCCATGTTTAGAAAGCTCCTTATGGACAACGTTGTTTGTGGTTTGAACTTGTTTTGAGTAACTTGTTTTGATCAAACGGTTTTGAAATTGGATATTAGGACTTTGTTCTCAAACTCTCACACCTGGAGCGGAAAGGACCATTGTGTTACAGACACCACAGTAATGGCTGTGGTGTCCTCACTCGATGGACTTTTAAGCTGCAAAACCAAGAGCTTTGACCAGCAATTCGAGAGGCATCCGGCTAGATAAGACTCCTCTTTGCTGATCTAAAGAGCTCTCCAGAGATCTTGAGACGCCTGCTTCTGCCGTGGCTGGGATATTCTCGGTCAGGAGGGCTGACAGTCTCAGGGAGAAGAGGGGACATCTATTCCTACCTTGGCGAGCCCACTCCTTGTAGCCCGTGGTGCAAACCGTGGAACAGTCTCTGGACCAATAACCCTCAGAGCAGCCCACCTTGCCTTCCAACGATGGCGCCATCGCCCGCCAGCTCCAGGCCCCAGCAGTGAGGGACCTACGCCGGCAGCTGATAGCCGGCTTTTAGTTGGAAGGACTGACTACTCCACTGAGAGCCAACGTGTACAAAGGTACCCCTCAACGAAATTTGGACTTTATTTCTTTCACCTTCCCTTTGCCTGGAACAATAGTGTAATTTATCTGTCATTGGTTTGGAGTGTGTTATTCCTTTATTGGCTTATTAAGAGGCATTATCTGGTATGCTATTGGCTTGTGAAATATTATTATTATCAATTTTAATTCCCGTAATGAGTCTGTGTCAAATAAATTATTGGCAAAGAATCTCAGTCTCTGAGCTTAATTTGCCCTGAACAAAACACCGGTGTTTTCTGAAGGGCCTGGGGGGATTTTTTTTTGTAGGTCTGCAGTGTGATTGGGAGTAAAGACTGCTTGACGCCACAGGTCCACGGCCAACCCCTCAAGGGCAGCCAGGAGGGAATGCACCCAGGGGAGAGCAGACCTCGTTAGTGGAGAGCAGGCCAGCTCTGGTGGAGAGCTGAAGCCTTATTGGAGACCTACGTTGTGCCAAGAACTGTGCTGGCCCCTGCAGGGTAGAGAAGTAGGAGAGGGCCCAGCCCCTCAAGTATCCAGTCCCCGCTGAAAGGACACGCCTTCTATGTTGCAACTGTTAGGAGACTATTTTGACGCACGTCCCCGCTGTTTCAACAAAGACTTCTTTGGCCAAGCATTTACTTGCAGTTTTACCTTCTGCCTGTGAGCTAGATTTTTAAATGTCGATCTAATCTCAAATGCACAAGAAAACCATGATTACAATAACATGGTTTCAAAGCGCACCCGGGGCCAGAGAGAGGAGAGATGCAAAGTAGCTATGGACAAAGCACTTTTGTACTCATCTGTATGCACCCTCAGTGGGGTTTTTGATGGGCTCTCGGGAGGGCGTGCAGGACAGAGCGAAGAGGGAGAGAGCATGGGACAGCCAGCAATCCTGCTCCCTACTCTGCTGCTCCCTACTCAGCTGCTCCTCAACAGCTGGAGCTTGGCTCGTCCCTCTACACGGACTACAATCTCCCCCCATGTTACCCATAGTTAACCCAGATGTGGGGAATCTGTTTTGTCTCCCTCCAGAATCAGTTAGACGTGACCGCTCGGAGTGATCCCATCTGAGAACAGAGCGCATGCTTCACTTATTTTCAGGGTTAGTTTAAAGTTCTGGGTACTTAGGAAATTCAGAGATACCTGTTGCATCCAAAATGCCATGAGATAAAAGCTGGTTATGGGGCTGCCCAGCGCGCAGTAGCTGGTTTCAGGAGATCCCGTTCATTCTGGTGAGCAGACTACGGAAGCCCACTGGAAGCGCGGATCAGAGAGGCGTCAGCTAGAGAGCACAGCATCCTCTCATCACAGCTCCGCGGGGAGGTGCCCTGAGCCCGCCTATCACTGTCTCATTGCACGAATACCACTAACGATTACGGGAGTTACAGCATTGCTGTACCCATGTTGGCTCTTATTATTTTCTTTAACTCATGCTAGATTTTCTCTCTGTGTGGAACATGCGAGTCCTTGCCAGGGCCAGCGAGCCAAAAAGGCCCAGTTGTTTCTCTCTTAATTAAGTTACATAGGAAAGGAAGAGAATGAACGAGGTAATTAATTCAGATTTTCTCACTGAAACCCAAAGTTTCTTTTCTCGTCTGGCCGGCAGGCAAGAGCAAACAGAAAAGATTTGGCAAGTGCTTTCATCACTCACCATTTCAGCCTGACCTCTCGAGCCTGACACCCACTCCCCTCCCAATTCCCCAGGCCAGCTCTCCAGAAGAAATTGCTGCTAGCGGGCGCCTGGGTGGCTCAGTTGGTTAAGCGACTGCCTTCGGCTCAGGTCATGATCCTGGAGTCCCGGGATCGAGTCCCACATCGGGCTCCCTGCTCGGCAGGGAGTCTGCTTCTCCCTCTGACCCTCCCCCCTCTCATGTGCTCTCTCTCTCATTGTCTCTCTCGCAAATAAATAATAATAAAAAATCTTAAAAAAATATATATATATATAAAAAAAGAAATTGCTGCTAGCAAAGATATTCTATGCATATACAAACATGTGATTCTGCAACACCCTTCTTTGTAAAACAACAATAAAATGTACACCTGCTAGCATGATTTATACATAGCTTTAGGTCTTGTTTTTTTGACAGAATATTTCCCATTATGGAAGGAAGTGTTTTATAATAAGAGTAATCTTACTTAACGCAAGTCTTACATCTGTCTTACACAAAGCTTTTACC